ATTGAGAGTTTTGGGATGGGAATGTGAAGGTTTGGGACTGGGAATGGAGAGGTTTGGGATGGGAATGTGAAGGTTTGGGACTGGGAATGGAGAGGTTTAGGATGGGAATGTGAAGGTTTGGGACTGGGAATGGAGAGGTTTCCTGCCAAGGTCACGGCGCTGGCAGGGCCGCGCAGCTCCTGAGTCACGGTCATGTGCTGGAGCTGCGGGTCCAGTTCTCCTCTCCTCGTGTGTAACTTCAGTAAATTTAGACCCAGCAGCCTTCCCTGAGCCGGGAGGATTCAGGAATCTGCCCCAGGGATTAACCCCTTCCCAGCCAAGCCAGCCACAGAGCTCAGCAAGTGACACTTTCCTGCCTGGGGCTGGGAGGGTTTTGTTCCCAAAAGATTTTTCCAGAGGCAGAGCTGGGTGACTCAGCTGTTTTGAGCCTGATGTGTGTACTTTGCCTGTTTATTCCCAGGACAGGCAGTCCCAAGGGAGTCATGTTACACTGCAGGCTCAGTGTTTATTAACCAGCTCGGGCCTGAGCTAAGAATAACTTTTTTTTCACTTGTTTTGTTGATAGTGATTATTTTTCCTCGCTTAGCACAGGCAGCAGCTTGAAGTGGAAAGAGTCCAGAGAAAGGATTTTCCCAGCAAGTTGTGGGAATACATAAACACTCAGCTATTATCACCTTCCTCCCCTGAACAGCCACAGCTGAAACATAAAATCAGGAAGGTGAGAGCTTTAAGGGAAGCAAATTGCTCAGTCTGGAAGTGGAGCAGCTCAGCAGCGCTCCATCCTCTCCCAGCAGCTATTTGAACTTCAGGGATTCAATCCAGCCTTTAGATGCTTCAGAACCAACATTTGTCTGCAGAGCAGTACTTGCTTCCCTGCTTTCCCCTCCGTGGGGGTTTATTTAGGGGATTTTTGGAGCATTTCCTCACTGATCTCTTCATTCCCTCAGTCCAGCCCTGGTGCATTGTGTGGCTGCACGTGACCACGTCACTCTCTGTACCCATTTAGCTGCTTGGCACAGAAAAAGTCCTTTGGCAGAGGAAGAGATGCAATGCTTTAATCAGCTGATGTGTATGAAAAGCAGCAGAGTGCTGTGATTTATTCTGTTGGATCTTTGATAGTTTATTTAGGCTCCCACAGCCGATGTGAAGTTAATACCTGCAGAAATTTATAAACCACTTTTCCCTCCCTTTTCTTCTCCCTGTTGTGGTTTTAACACAAATATCAGTTAAGGCAAGATCCCTCTGGTTGGAAATGTGGAGCAGAGGCATTTCTTGTTGCGCAATAGTTGTAAAACATATTTATTTAGCTGATGTTTGTGGTCTTCAGTGGGGTTTGTGTTGCACTTGTTCCTCACTTGTGACCTCGCACTTGTGGGGGTCACCTGTCCAAAACTGCCTTGGTTGATGACACCTCATAGCAGGAACCCTTCTCTGGCCTCTAGTTAAGCCTTTGTATGTTATTTTCTTTATTTATACCTCCATGCTCTGCTCATTGTGGTAGAGTTTAAATGCTAAACAAGTTTAACCCTGGATAGTGTCACAGTGTCACACTGTCATTGTGGCACTGTGTTTCCAAATACCTCTTTCATAGTTTTACTGCTACAACTCAGAGGATTTTTAGGTTTAGTGACAGCTGTGCTCCCTTCTCCTGTTCTAAATGCAGCTGTTCTCACACCTCCTTTGGCTTGGGTGATTAAAAGAAAGTGGGGGCTGTTTTGGAGGTGGGTACAGACTTTAGGGCAGGATCAGATACCTGATGGAGTGATAGCAGAGCTCTGCTCTGTCACATGCAGTTTAAGCCTGAAGAAAATATTTTCATGAGCCTAAAGATGGGGAAGAATAGTAGATATTTTCTTCTCTTGTTGCTGAGGTGCTGTGGGAGCAGCAGTTTGGGATGAGGTCTCATCTCCTGTGGACCTGGAGGCACAAGGAGCCTGTGATCAACTGGAGCATTTATTGCTATAATTTATTTATAATATTTCCCAGCACTGTCACCTGTAGTAAAAGCAAGTGACCCCTGTGGCAGGGAGAAATGACACATCTGACTCCATTGATAATCAGAAGGCTAATTAATTACTTTATTACACTATATTACACTACATTTAACTGAACTTGTTTAAGCATTTAATTTAACTTTAGTGTACAGAATTTCCTGACTGTTAGCTGATAGACACACACATGGATTTAATTGATCAATGAATTAAAACACACTAGAATTTAATTAGGTAAATAATTAAATTCTTTTAGGTAAATAATTTTCTTCAATGTATTTTATTTGTTTAAAACACAGGGGCAGTAAATGAGATAAGAATTGGGGTTTTTTTCTCTGAGATTGAGAAAATCTTTGGGAAGCTGTGCCTTGCTTTGGTCTGTGAAGAGAAATGCAGAGAAATCCCCAGCCCTGTGTGCTCACTGCTGGCTGGTGGGAGAGATACAAGGGAGAATGGCTTTAAACTAAAAGAGAGTTGGTCTAGGTTGGATATTAGGAGGAAATTCCCTGTGAGGGTGGGCAGGCCCTGGCACAGGGTGCCCAGAGCAGCTGTGGCTGCCCCTGGATCCCTGGCAGTGCCCAAGGCCAGGCTGGGCAGGGCTGGGAGCACCTGGGACAGTGGAAGGTGTCCCTGCCATGGCAGGGGTGGCACTGGATGGATTAAAATCCCTCCCATCCCAAACTCTTCCATGATTCCATGATGGGAGCAGCAGCATCTGGACCTGTGGAAGAAGCTTTAACCTCACATTGGGCAGAGATCCCAATGCAGAAAGTCAGCAGCAGGATGCTACAAAGGCAGGACAACTTCTCCAGGTTGTGGGTGAAAAGTTTCCCCACTTCTCCTTAGCTTTGGGTTATTCATTCTGGAATGACACTGACACCACCAGCTCCAGCAGAATCACTCATAAATAAAAGGGGAAAAGAGTTGATGCTGCATCTGACATCTCAAAAAAAAAAAAAAAATTAGAAGGCTTTTTTCCATTTAGTTGTTTACATTAATTAGGTTTTGGCAGTGGTGAAAAGGGAGGGAAGGGCTGGCTGGATTGGATCAGGGAGTCTCCTGTAGAGGAGGGACAGGACAAAGCATTTGAGAGGAGGGAGCTGAACAAAGCATTTCACTGCTCTTGAAGCAGAGGTTGTGCTGCTGCATTGGTGTGAACCCTCCAGAACAGCATTGTCCAGCTAAACACCCTGCCCAGTGTGTTTGGTGTCCTGGATCACAGTAAAGACCTGGTGATGTACTTGGAGACACACTTTTTATCATCATTTTGACCCAAAAAGCTGTGAAAATGAGGCAGAAGCTAACAGAGGGTCCTGCCTAGTTAACTTGTGTAGTAGGAGCAGTGTCCTCATTTGTGTGTGGAGTTGTGTCTAAGTTTTGCTTTTTAAAAAGCAGTTCCACAGTAGGAATAGAAGGTGTTGCAGCAGCTGGGTTTTGGGATGGGGTCATTTTTGGGCTGTGTTTGTTCCCCTCATCCCCTCTACCATGTTTTTGGAAGGGGTGTTTGTTGTGTTTGTTGTATTTTTCCTTTTTTTTTTTTTTTTCTCCTTGAGACCAGGGAATTCCTGGTTGGATTGTTTCTGAGCTATATTTTCATTTACCTTGTGTTGCACTTTAATCAGTAGGTGATTAGTCCAGGGATGGAAAAGCAGGAAAAAAGAGACAATGCAAACTGTGCTGGCATTTCTGGGGCATCTCCAGTCCTGGGGCAGCTCTGGGAGCCTCAGGACAGGAAGGACCTGGAGGGGCTGAGCATGTCCAGGGATGGGAACAGAGCTGGGAAGGAGCACCAGGAAAGGCTGAAGAAGCTGGGAAGGGGCTCAGCCTGGAGCAAAGGAGGCTCAGGGGGCCCTTGTGGCTCTGCACAGCTCCTGACAGGAGGGGACAGCCCAGGGGTCGGGCTCTGCTCCCAGGGAACAGGGATAGGAGGAGAGGGAACGGCCTCAGAGTTACATTATTGGGATATTGGGAAAATTCCTGCATGGAAAGGATTGTCCAGTCCACAGACTGCCCAGGGCAGTGGTGGAGTCCCCATTCCTGGGGGGGATTTAGAAGATGTGTAGCTGTGGCCCTTGGGGACATTGTTTAGTGGTGGCACTGCTGGGGAACAGTTGGACTTGAAGATCTCAGAGAGCTTTTCCAACATTACCAATTCCACCATCCTGTGGCTCTTGAGAGCAAAGGCTGTTGCAGGCTGGTGGCTGGTTTTTGTGCCATTACAATAATAAACATTTTAAAAAGTAATAATGTAAATTATAATGGATTTGTTCAAAAAGAAGGAAAAAGGCGCTCTGAAAAGTTATTTCTAAATGTCTCATTAAAATGCGTCATCAGCAGAGCTCCAGAGCTCCAGTTTATTGTTACTTTGGGCAAATAACACTTGGAGAGAGCATCTGGTGGGATAAATTGTTACAGCCCATGGAATTGGGTGGAAGTAGGAAAAATGTGCAGAGTCTGTAGCCATGGCCTGCCTCCCATCTGGGATGGTTTTGGGCTGTTCCATTGCACTGGAAATGCTTTAATGCAGCAGCAGCTTCTGTTAAACACACTCAGGGTTGTTTCTTGCTGTTTGCCTGATTTTGGAGGATTTATTGGCAACATCTACAGGTCTGGCTGTCCTTGGAAGCTGGTTTGGGAGAGGCTTTTGGAAGCAGGTGGCCAGGCCTTTGGACACACAGGGTCATGTGTCTCCTGGGTTGTTTCCCCCTGCAGCACTTGGGGAGGTGATAAATATCACTCAGGTGATAAATAGCAGCAAACTCTGAATAAAATAGGAGTAAACTCTGACTAATAATTACTAATGGAGCTGTTACTTACAAGTAGAGCCACTAGTGGATCTACAAGCTGCTCCCATGAGAGGCAGTGTTGATGAATTGCTCCTCGACAGAGATGGTTTCTCTCTTGCAATCTTTTCATCTTTATCTCCATGTCAGTCCCTCCAGTTCTGTTCCTGGTTTTTGGGGATGAATCATTGGATCCACTCACTTGGCTTTTCTTGTTCCCTGGCAGGCTCCTTATCCCTCAGGACAGAATGCAGCTCCCACCACGCTGGTGTACCCTCAAGCCCCTCAAACAATGAACACTCAGCCTCAGACCCGCTCGCCGGTAAGGAGCCCACGCTGCCCCATCCTGCTCTCTGCTCCTTGCTCTGTGTTTCTCTGTCTGTGTGTGTCTGTAGCACGGGGCTGGTTCTCTGCAAAGCTCATTTTACTGACCTGGAAGCACATCCTGAATGGCAAACCTTGGTTGAGTTTTTCAGGCACTGTCCTGGTAGGATAATTTTCCTTCTGAGGTTCCTAAAGAAGCGATGGAGGGATTCTCATCTACCTTCAAATAACACCATTTATTTTTAGCCTAGATGCTTTCAGGTTCACTTCATTATAGAGTTCAGATTCATTGCCAGAATCTTTCTCTTTTCTTCTTTTTTTTTCTTTTTATTTTTTCTTTAAGGATGTGTTTTGTGCAGGGATAGACCAGAGATCAAACACAAGCAGTTCTCTGCAGCAGCGCTCGCTCTCTGGTGGCCTCTGGGCTTTGCTCCCAAATCAGTGCCACTGATCAGTTCTAACCCTGGAGGTGCTCACAAATAACCTAGAGCTTCTGTGCACTCAGATCTTTTTGTGCTGAGCCCCTTTTTCATCCAACTTCAGGTTTGATCATCCTTCACAGTCTGTTTTTTTGGGGTGGGTGTTTATTGTGATACTGCTCTGCTGTTGTAGGACTTCAGTTCCACACCAGGCACTTTCTGGGGATTCTCTGCTTGTAGCACAGCTCCACATGATGTTAGAGGAGCCTCCTAGGGCATCAGAGGCTTTGCCCAGCTTCTGGAGGCATGGTGGCTTCCCATCAGCACGTCTCAGGGCTCTGTCAGCTGAGGAGCAGCAATCCTGCACCTCCTGCCCCTCTGTGTCGGGACACCTTCAGGCTGCCCATAACCCCTGGTGCCTTCCCAGCACTCTTCTCTCTTTAGAGTAAGGCAAATGCTCCTGGAGCAAACTGAAGCCTCTGAGACAGAGGAGTTTGTCCACAAAACAGATATAAATAAACTGATAAACCCCAGGGCAAGGATCCCCAAACCTGCAACATCACTGGGCACTTGCCCAGCTCTGGAGGTTTCCCCTCCAGGACATGCCAGGGTTTGTTCTGAGACCCCTCAACCTCTGCTGATGCCAGGTAATGCTGACTTTGAAGTTCTTTGATGTGCCCAGCTGGGAATTTGTCCTCAGTGCCCCATTCTGATCAGTAATGCAGGACACTGCTGCTAAAGCTCTTTCCTCAGTAAGTATAATCATCTTTCTCTTTAATTGTTGCAAAGCACAGCTAAGCTGGTATGGTTAGAACTGGAGCAAAAACTTGACTGAAGAGCTGCATCTCTAAACCAGTTTTTTTGACAGCCCAGCAGAACAGTGCCAATACATTGCACAGAAAACTGGAAGAGGAGGAAGGTTTTGGAACAGAGTCCGGTTTACAGGTCCCTGGCTGGAAGAGGCTGGATAAAATACTGCATTGTAAGCAATATAACAAACTGTACTCCTTCTTGCAGGCAATTGTGCCCACGGCACTGTTTTTATTTCTTCTTCCTTTCTTTATTATATATATTTTTTTTACCACACCCCTTTTTTTGTTGGCTACAGAAATGCACTGGTTTTGCTTCTTTGCTGAAAGCACGAGCTGCCGTGGCAGCCTCTGCCAGGTGAGGTGGTGCCACAAGGGCCCAAAGCTGAATCACAGAGGGGTCTGACCTGGGGTAGGACAGACACAGGGCCCCCTGGGCTTTGTCACTCAGCAGAGAGAGAATCTGCAGGAAATTTGGCCAGTAAATGTCAAATTTTTAGTGTTTTGGCCCCATAACTGAGGAGGTCCCGAGGAAGAATTTATCTGCACCTTGTTTGTGTTGCTCTGAGCTCTCCTGTGTGCAGGTTTTGCCGTGTGCTCTGCTAGTGCCCATCTCACCCCATGACTAAAAGCTGCTCCCACCCATCACATCTCATTCCACCTCCCACCCCAAAGCAAATGCAAGACTAGCCCAGGCCTGAGCTACTCCTGCGTTTGGTTCTTCGCTTGATTTATTTCTTTGTAATTTAATTATGATTTTGTTCAGTTTCTTTTTTAACCCATTTGGTGGTGAGGGGAGGGTGAGGAGGGGATGAGGAGGGTGGCTGTGCCCTCCCTGGGTTCCTGGTGTGCTCTGGCACAGCTGAGTGGGCAGGCAAGGCTGAACCAGAGCCAGAGCTTCCTGCATCCAGTAGCCTTTGGGGGTGCAGAGCTCAGGATTTTGGAGGTGCAGAGCTGAGGCCTTTAGGGCTGCAGAGCTCAGGAGTTTGGGGTGCAGAGCTCAGGATTTTGGGAGTGCAAAGCTCAGGATTTTGGGATGCAGAGCTCAGGTTTTTCTGCTCCCCCAGCCACAGCTGCCTTTGCAATCCATGTTTGCTCCCCCAGCCAGAATTGCAAAGCTCCAGCTGGGCAAGGAAAACAAAATCCGGGTCCTTCAGCACTGCTGAAAATTCCCCCTTAGGTCTTGGCCATGCCAGCCCCCATCTTAACACCAACTGTCCAATTTTAAGACTTCTGCCAAAAAATGATACCTCCAGGAGGGGTGAGGTGTGCCAGCCCAACGTCTGCAGGGAGAGAACATTCTGAGTCCATGGAGCAGGACTGCAGGGAGGGGGCCATGGGGCAGGGAGGTTGGACCCAGGATTTATAAGGTTTTCCTATCTACTGTCTTCATCAAACAGAAAAAACAACCCAAAGTGTCTCTTTTAAGCCAGCAGTGACTACTACAGTTTGTTCTGTTGCTTACAGCTATTAACAGGAATAATTCCTATCAAACAGAATTATTTTTAAAAAAATTTCAAATCAAGAGCCAGTGGTGACCAGTGCAAAATAGATGAGGGCATTTTTCACTAACTTGGAGCTTTTATTTTATTTCTTGTAACACACATTACTTTCCACCATGGAATTAAACTTTGGCTTCTTCAGATACAAACTTCCAGCTCTTGTTTTAGGTGCAGGGAGAACAAATCTTTTCTGTGCAGCAGGGATCAGAGAGGTGCCTTAGCCCTGAAGTGAAGCAGTTCAAGGTTTCTGCATCCCAGCATTCTCTTTTTGGCTGTTTTCTTTCATTGGTGTCTAACACAGAATGTGCAGCCCTATGGAAAGGCTCAGCCCTTCCTGGGTACCTTTAGTCTCTTTTCTCAAACACAAGGTATTTGAGCTGGTTTAGGGGAAGTTCTTTGGGAAAATAAGGACTTGAAGTGCTTCTATCTCTGGAGACTCATCCAGTACCTGTTTCTCCTCATCCACAGAGCCACTGGGAGAATGCCAAGAGGCTCTGAGTCCTTCTGGTTCATTAAAATAGAAATTAGAGCTTTTTAGTTCCACAAGGTGACCATGCTTTGCTTTTTTACTCTTCATTGTAAGGCTTAGGGAAAATTTTCCAGGGTGAGAAAACCATTTGGTGAACCAGTGCAGGTCATTCTTAATAAACTCTTGTCCCAGGATCAGTCTGTGTGTCCATATTTACTCATTTCTGAAGGTTTTTATGACTTTCATCCAAGTGTCACCAAGTGCCACCATGAGGTGAAGGTAGAAGGAATATATAAACACCAGGATTAGCAGACCAGTTCTTGGAAATCTTGAAATCTAGGCAATTTCAGTGTTTATAAAGGAAAAGATCGAATGGACCAATCAATATTTATGCTTTGCTTCATGTTTGATGGCATTAGGCCCACTTTTCCATAGAGAAAATAAACTTATTAAGAAAGTCACTGATTAGTACCCAGTTTTGATCACTGTTTTGAGGCAGAAAGTAAAGCACAATGAGCCCCTGAGTGAGCAGAGGTGGCTGTGCTGAGCCATCACAGCATGTGTGGGCTAAAATTCACTGTGGATGTAGCTGTGGTCACTGCAGATAATTATTGGAGCTCTTTTCAGTAGAATTCTCTGCTCTAACACTGAGAATTATGGGTTTCAACACCTAACTCAGCTCTGGAAGTGGGTACCTTGTCATCTTTATTTATATTTTCCATTTCTTGCATTCATTTTTATTTCTATTTTAACAATCAGTTCCTTCTTGGGAAATGCTTTTAATGTCAGCTGAGCATGTTAAATTGGGGTTATTTTCCTCTGCTTGTGGCCCAAGTGAGTGGGAGGTGACTCAGTGGCCTGAGCTCAGGGCTGGGACCCAGGACCTGCTGTTCTCCAGCCAGGCTGCATTGCCTGGCATGGGCTGGGCCTTGGCTCTCAGAGAGGTGACACATGCCACTCCTCACAGGGGCTTTGCTGTGACCCCAGTGCAGGAGTTAGCTGGAAATGCAGTGACAGGGGTGGCTGTGCCAGGAGTGGCTGCTCTTTGCCTCTCGGGGATGTCCCTGTGCAGAGATGTCCCTCTGCAGGGATATCCCTGGTCAGGATGTCCCCGTGCAGGGATGTCTCTGTCCTGGGATGTCCCCATGCTGGGATGTCCCCGTGCAGAGATGTCTCTATCCTGGGATGTCCCTTTGCAGATTTATCCCTTTGCAGGGGTGTCCCTGTGCAGAGATGTCCCTGTCCCTGTGCAGATTTGTCCCTGTCAGAGATGTCCCTGTGCAGAATGTCTCCCATGCAGAGGTGTCCCCATGCTGGGATGTCCCTGTGCAGGGGTGTCTCTATCCTGGGATGTTCCCGTGCAGAGATGTCCCTGTGCAGGACGTCCCTCTCCAGGGATGTCCCTTTGCAGATTTGTCCCTTTGCAGATTTGTCCCTGTCCCTCTGCAGGGATGTCCCTTTGAAGATTTGTCCCTTTGCAGGGATGACCCTGTGCAGAGGTGTCCCTCTGCAGGGATGTCCCTTTGCAGATTTGTCCCTTTGCAGGGATGTCCCTGTCCCTCCCTGGCTCCTCCCAGCCATGGGGCTCCATCCTCTGCTCCAGCCCAGCTGCTCTGACCATTGCCCTCCACCTCAAACAGCTCAGAATCTCCGCTGCTGCTCATTCTCAGTTGGTTTTTGGTTTGGTGTGTTCCTCCCAGGCAGGATAAGGAGTGCCAGCATCCCTGAGTGCCTTTAGGATCCAGGGCAGCTTTGGCTGTTTGTCCAGCTGCCAGCACAGTGCCCCCAGCAATGTCCTCGTGACACCTCAGCCCCTGTGTGTCACTGTCCTGCAGCAAAGCTTTTGACTGTGTCGTTGTTCTTTTATTTTCTGTGGGTTTATTTTTGCATAGAGTGTGACATTTTGGTTCGTTGTGGTGTTTCTGACTCTTTGTGCCTTTCCTTTTGTGTTTGTTTCTCCCGCCTTCCCTCAGTTTGCAGCGGGGCCTCGACCTGCCCATCACCAGGTACAGTACCTGCCCCTTGTTATCACCCTGCACTAATTGCCTGGGGGGTGGGGGTGGAGGTGTCTCACTCACTAACTCAGAGGAGGAAAGCAGCCCTGCAGTAGCTCCTGGCACGTGCCTAACCCTGCTAACAGCCACCTGCACCCTGAGTGACACTGACCTCCCCCGGTCACCGCTGCCACCAACCACCCACACCCCAGGGCAGGAGAGCCTCTGGGAGCCATTGCCAGGGGTGTGTGGGCTTCCCTTGCCTTCTCACATCACTAAAAACGTGTTCTGAGTGTTCCCCACACGAGTCAGTGGTTTCAGTTTCCTGAAGATGTCACCTTGGAGCAAAGCAAACAACTTCCCTTTGTTGTGTGATACACCTGGTTATCTGTCACCATTGCATTGCTCAGTGTCCTTTTCACTTAGCCCACAAAAGCCAGACCTGTAGGAAACTTTTAGTGTTCCTGTTGCACCACTTGGACTTTGTGAGGAGCCACTTCATTATTCAGAAGGAGATTTAGGAATGGCTGTGGCTTATGGAACTCAGGGGTGGCAGAGCTGGAAATTCTCCAGTGCCAGGACAGATGCACAGGCCTGTCTGTCCTAGTCAGGGTGTCTGGAATTGTCTTTTCTTCAGCCCCTACACTCCTCTTTGCCAAAACACATCCTTGGGAACTGATTTTGATGCTTTTTGTAGGTTTTGAGGGAGCAGAGGTGGCATTGCTGGTGGGAAGGAGGAGAGGCAGGACAAGGCAGGGAAGCTCTCCCAGAGCTCTTTGGGAGAAAAATCCCATTAATCCTGTGGTGTCAGGGCAGGGGCTTGAGACATGGGAGGTTTGTTCCAGGGAATTATTTTGTTCTCACTTCAGTCACATTCCTGAGCAGTTGAACACTGGGATGAGCAGTGTGGGGTAAGTGTTGGGTGGGCACAACCCCAAAATCCCCATGATCCTTGTTCCTTCCAGCTCAGGGGGCAGCAGGGGAGCAAAAGGAGTGTAAGGAGTAGAATGGGCCATTGCAGCTGTGGGCTCACAGGCAGAGGTGGCATGGGACCTGTGGGACAGTGATTTCTGTGACAGGAATGTTTGCAGGGCCAGCCTGGGCATCAATGGGGGCATCAGGATCTTGTTCAGATGCTTTTGTTGTTGACCTTAGCTTCAGGGTCAGTGTTTGCACTGCACAATGCAGAGTGCATTCCTGCTCTGCAGCTCCTCAGTTCCTTCATGGGTCATTCCTAAGGGATGGATTCACTGGGAGCCATTTCATGTTCTCCTAAAATTTACTGAGCTTTCTTTAAGCAGGTTTTGGCCCATGAGTCTTGAGGCAGCACAACCTTGGAGGAAATATTCTCATGAATTCCCATGGCTGGGGCTTTACTGGTGGGACTTGACCACCAGTCTGTCAGAGTGGGATCCAAAACTTTCCTTTGGACCCAGTTATGGCTCTGCCCTTGCTGTGCTTGTAAATTCCAAGTGTTTCCCTGATTTTATCACAGTTAGATTTTTGTCTCTGTTACATTTGAATCTGCTTATAATGACCTGTGAGAAGCTGTCACCATTAGGAAAATATTCCAGGCTTTATTCCCAGTTGCATCTGTCATGTGCTGCATCAGGACAGGCACAGAGACACCTGGGCTGTGGATGAGCTGTTTGTTTCCTTTAACCCAAAACACCCATGGTGTGGACTGGGGGTGCAGACAGAGATTTTGGCCCCTGCCATGTGCAGGAGAGTCACAGCTGTGGGAGAATTTCATCCTGAACCCAGGACTCACAGGGTGCTCGAGACCAACAGAAATTATTATCCTCATAGGAGAGTTTTTAAACTTGTTTAAACTGTGTAACACAAGCTGAGAGCTTTGAGACTGAGATTCCTAAGCTAGAAAATGCTAAATAAGTAAATTGGCCTCAGCAGGGCTAATATTTACTGCAGCAACTCCACCTTCCCTTTGAAGGCAGCAGCAGCACCCTGGGGTTTGCAATTCCCTGTGTCCATCCCAGCTTTTATTAACATGTGCCTTGTATTGATTCTGGGTCTCCTTCAGGCAAATAATGGATTGTTCTTCACTGTTACTGCCTGTAATTATTAGATCTTTAAGGTCCTCAAATGAGCATGATTTAAGCACCTGAAGTTGAATGCCAGCTTTATGAGCAGGGTTTTTTCCTTGGATGGAAATGCCTGGAGTTGGACAGTGACAGTGGGAGTTGGAGCCAGTTAATGCTGAGGGAAATGTGACCCCACTGTGAGAGAGAAAATAGCAAAGATTTGGGGTGTTACCAATAGTGGCTGAAGGGAAATGAAATCATTGCAGCAGTTCTGACTGGAAGTTAAGTGTGCATCAGTAATCCCTGATTCTGAGATCACACACTGAGAATCTGCAGGAAAACCTCACTTTATAGGAGGCAGAAAACAGCCCCTCAAAGTGTTTTGGGCAGTATTTTGGAATACACTGTCAGCTTGTGCTTTTTCCCCAAATGCTGTGGCACATGGAGCTATTCCCTGCTGGAATTGCTGCTCCATTTCCCACTTCCTGCACAGACTTTCTCTGTTTTTTTCTTTCTGAGTGAGGCTGTGGAGTCACTTTGTTGCTTCTGATCCTCACAAAGCACACTTGAGAACAGCAGTTTTCTTCTAACCTGAGCTCCAAAATGCAAATTTTTGTTGCATTTGAATCTGCCTAAAACCCCTTCACTTATGAAGTGACTTGGGGAGTGTGGGGTTTATTTTAGAAATGGGTGCTCAGAAGAGGCTGGTGTGATTAAAAACAGAAATCAGAAATACAAATAGAGGTGTGGTTGTTTCCTTTTGACTTGAACTGTGTTTGAGATGGGTTTGCTGCTCATGGCTCAGCTCTCACTTGAGGTTGCTGGTGGAGTTTATTCCAGTTTTAGTTTGCTTGAGTTCTCTGGGTGTAACTGGTACAGGAGAATGGGCTTGGCTGGATGCTGCTGTGGAAAAGCTTTGGGACTTGGAGAAGTTGGGAATTCACTCCCTGAACTGACCCAGCTGAGCATTTTGTAGCTTTTTTGGGTATTTCAAGTCAGAAACTGATGGGAAACTGCTGCAGTCACTTGCCTGTCTGCATCCCTGAGTGTGTGAAGGAACTGCCACATCTTAATACCAAAAAGGGTTTTTCCCCTTCATTTTATGATTTAGTAAATAATAAAACAGAGGGGAAGGAAGCAAGCTTTGCCTTGAACCAGCCAAAAGAGCTGGGGAAGCAGGACCTGGGGCTTTGTGCTGCAGCTCCAGCTCCTGGAGCAGGGGCAGCACAAGGGGAAATGGCCTCAAGTTGCACCAGGGGAGCTTTTGGGATATTGGGAAAATCTCTTCATGGAGAAGATGCTCAGGCACTGGAAGAGGTGGAGTCAGCATCACTGCAAGTGTTCAGACAATGTGTGCATGTGGCACCTGGGGACATGGGTTAGGGATGGACTTGATGATCTTAGAGGGTTTTTCCAAGCTAAACAATTCCACAATTCTCTGATCTTCACATCTCAGGGCTGCAGCTCCTCAGTTCCTGCTGCATTGCCCATGCAGGCACCTCCTCCTCCCTGCCCCAGGCCAGGCTCAGGTTATCCCACCAAAGGCTGGGGCCTGGTGGCACCAGAAAACTAAAAATTAATAACAGGGGCATGAGAAGCTTGAGTGAAGTGCAGAGCTTGGGTGACGACTTGAACTTTCTTTCTGCTTCCTTTCTCCAAACCTCCCCCCAGTTTCCATGGACCCATCACAGCATCCAAAAATAGGAAAAAAATAGATCAATGCCCCTGTTTGCCAGGCTGAGCTTAGCATAGGTTTGTTCTCAGGCTCTTAGACCAAATTTCTATTTTGGTGCAGATTTGGGGTCCAAGGGAGCACTCCTGGCACTGGGAGCCGTGGCCTGGAAATACGGAGCTTGTGGCAAAGCCATGAAAAGCAGAGCTGGGAGATCAGAGGGGGCTGGGGCTCCCCTGGATTGTGACTGTGTCACAGGGCTCTGAGGATGAGGGAAGAGATGAGGATCTGACTCCCATGTTTTAGAAGGCTTGATTTATTATTTTATGATATATATTATATTAAAACTATACTAAAAGAATAGAAGAAAGGCTAGCTAAGAATAGAAAAATAAAGAATGATAACAAAGGCTTGTGGCTCAGGCTCTGTATCTGAGCCAGCTGACTGTGATTGGCCATTAATTAGAAAAAACCAACATGGGCCAATCCCAGATGCACCTGTTGCATTCCACAGCAGCAGATAATCAATGTTTACATTTTGTTCCTGAGGCCTCTCAGCTTCTCAGGAGGAAAAATCCTAAGGAAAGGATTTTTCATAAAAGATGTCTGTGACACTGGAGCTCTGCTTTTCCTTGGTGGCACATTGATCAGTGATTTTATAACTCTGGGCATGGAGTGACTGGGGAAGAAAAGGAAGAAGATGATGGTAAATGAAAGGATTTGGCAGGGTTGGGGTGTGAGAGCAGTGACTAAAGGGAAGATGGCAAGGAAGGGCGGAGGGGTGGCAGGAGGTTTGCAGTGGAAGAGCCCAGGGCTGTGTCCCTTGGGAGCCTCAGGGAGCAGCTGGAGGCTCTGGCAGGAGCAGCTGCCCTTGCCCAAGGGCTCCCAGTGCTGGGAGTGTCCCTGGGTGCTCCCTGCAGGTTCTGTGGGTGCAGCAGCAGCCTGAGGAGCAGATTCCATGGGTGCAGTCTCCCCGTCTCTGGCACTGGGGGTTTCCCTGCACTGCCCTGTGGATGGAGGTGCTGTTGATAGAGAGAGGTCTCACCTCTGCCTCCAGCCCTTCTCACTCTGCATAAACACACACCTCTGTGGGGCTTATTCAATTTTTCCAACCCTCCCTCAGTGAGACATATCTGCAACATGCTTGCAGCTTAAAAATGACCATTAGTCAGTGAATTACAGTGAAAAAAGAAAGACTTTTACACTTTTTGGTGTCTTTGGATATGGAAAAATCACAAACTGGTGATTCTCACCATAAATTCAGCACCTGTACTTGGTTCATGCCACACTCCTGCATCTCCCCCACATCTCACACACAGGTTTTATCACAGCAGGACCATGGTGGGCTCTTGTTCTTCTCATTTGCTTTCTCCACCCTCACTTCCAAACTTTTCTCCCCAAACAGTTCTCTCCTCCTGGTTCAGGTCACCCTTCCAGCATGCTGGGGACAGCTCCTCATCCAGGCTGACAGGGCTGGGCATAAATCATTGTGCTCACCCTAACAATGTCTGCTTATCTGAAAGGGTCACCCAGGGCTTCCCTGGAGAGATTGTTTGCTGTGGGGAACAGCTCAGGTGCCATGAAAGCTTCAGCAGCACCGGAATGGCCATTTTATGCTCATTGTCATGTTGAGGGCAGAAACATCACAACTTCCTTCCCAAACCTAATCCCAGCTCATCCCTTCCTTCCCCTCTCTTCTTTTCTCACTCCTCCTGGCACAGTTACTCCCTGTAGCACATCACTGCACAGCAGGCAGCAGGATTCAGTGGGATGTGTGCTGGCCTAATTATTATAATTACTTTTTACTGAACAGTTAAATATGTGGCATTTCTTCCCCTCCCAGTCTTGGTGCAGAAAAGGAGAGAAATTCATGATTGGAGCTGGGGTTTCTGCTTTATCTGCTCTCTCTGTACCACTGAAAGAGACCAGAAGGAGAAATATTTGATGTTTTAGGAACAGAGTAAACACAAAGTCTTTCTGTAATGTCACATTTCATGCAGTAAATAATCATGGTTTGATTGGGTTTTATGGTTGTTTTTTTTTTTTGTTTTTTTTTTTTTAAACTTTTATACTTGGATGTGAAACTTTCCTAGGAGAGTTCTGGCAGCAGAGTCCATGGTGCCACTCAGGGCCTTTTCCTGGCTGTTTCTGAAGGGATGAGTGAGAGCAGGGCAGAATCTGCCTGTAGCTGTGTGCATTTAGGGTGCATGTGTATCCTATTCCTTCCTGTTGATCTGTAAGCTGTTCCATTGGCTTTCTTTCTGTTTCCTGCTGCTTTCTTGCTTCGTTATTGAAGGGAGGATTCAGACCTATACAGGTAACTCCAACTCCTGGTTCTGCATGGCATCAGTGTCTCTCACCTGGTCACTCCTCTGTCAGTGAATGCCTCAGTGTGCAGTGCTCCCCTCCCCTCCTGAGCTGTGGGCTCAGAGCCAGGGCCAGCCCAGTGCCCATCCCAGAGCCAGGGCCAGCCCAGTGCCCATCCCAGGGGCAGAGCCAGGGCCAGCCCAGTGCCCATCCCGGGGGCAGAGCCAGCCCAGTGCCCATCCCAGGGGCAGAGCCAGGGCCAGCCCAGTGCCCATCCCGGGGGCAGAGCCAGCCCAGTGCCCATCCCAGGGGCAGAGCCAGGGCCAGCCCAGTGCCCATCCCGGGGGCAGAGCCAGCCCAGTGCCCATCCCAGGGGCAGAGCCAGAGCCAGCCCTGTGCCCATCCCAGGGGCAGAGCCAGAGCCAGCCCTGTGCCCATCCTGGGGGCAGAGCCAGAGCCTGCAGCCCAGTGCCCATCGCAGGATGCAGAGCCAGCCCTGTGCCCATCCCGGGGGCAGAGCCAGGGCCAGCCCAGTGCCCATCCCGGGGGCAGAGCCAGCCCAGTGCCCATCCCAGGGGCAGAGCCAGGGCCAGCCCAGTGCCCATCCCAGGGGCAGAGCCAGCCCAGTGCCCATCCCAGGGGCAGAGCCAGAGCCAGCCCTGTGCCCATCCCAGGGGCAGAGCCAGAGCCAGCCCTGTGCCCATCCCAGGGGCAGAGCCAGAGCCAGCCCTGTGCCCATCCTGGGGGCAGAGCCAGAGCCAGCCCTGTGCCCATCCCTGGGGCAGAGCCAGCCCTGTGCCCATCCCAGTGCCCATCCTGGGGCTGCTGAGATCCAGAGCCAGCCCTGTGCCCAGGGTACAGAGCCAGAACCAGCCCCGTGCCCATCCCAGGGGCAGAGCCAGCCCTGTGCCCATCCCAGGATGCAGAGCCAGCCCTGTGCCCATCCTGGGTGCAGATCCAGAGCCAGCCCTGTGCCCATCCCAGAGAGCAGAATCAGCCCAGTGCCCATCCCAGGGCTGCTCCCAGCACAAGAGGGTGGGCATGAGCCTCTGCCAGGGCTTGCTTGGCTGCCTGGGCCTGGCCCATCTGCCAGGGCAGCACCTTATGCCAGTGTGGTGCCAGGCTTTGGGACCACCCTGGTTGTCACCCTTTGGAAAACAGGGCAGGACAGGTGACCTGGATGTGCATGAGGTTCCTCTGTGAAATTGAGGATTTTTAGCTCTTCTGGAGATAAATTGGAACAGTTGCCTTGATGTTTTATTTCCCTGGGGCATTTATAAAGGTGGGTTTATTTAGCAGCCAGCCCACCTTATAAAAAGGAAATTAGACAATTTCATTTTTCTAAAGTTGGCTCTGAAGGTTCAGCTGTGAAATTCAGGGCATACAAACTAATAATTCTTAGTTTGTAAAGTTTCTTGTCTGTTTGTACCTTGTAAAATAGAAAGCCAGAGATGGCCCTGCTGTTCACAGAGAAACAAGGACTGTCCTGCAGTTTTCTGCAAGTGTGGCAACCCCTGGAAACTAACACCATAACTCTAATATTGTCAGGATATTTCCAATTATATCCCAGGAAGTCTGACCAGTTCTTTGTTTTCTCTCCTCTCTCCCTTCCCTCTCCTAGTTTTTTCAGAGGCCTCAGATCCAGCCTCCAAGAGCCACCATCCAGAACAGCAACCCCTCCATCCGTCCCGGAGCGCAGACCCCGACTGCCGTGTACCAAACCAACCAGCACATCATGATGGTGAACCACCTGCCAATGCCCTACCCCATGCCTCAGGGCCCCCAGTACTGTATCCCACAGGTAAACCCAGCACCAGACACCTGAGGAGCTGCACAGCAGTGTTTGATCCATGGGGTTGTCCCAGGAGGGTGTGGGATGTGTCTGTGAAATCAGGCTGGTAGTTGAATATCATGTGCCAGGGCAGGTCTAGATGAGGTATTGGGAAAAGTTCCTTCATGGAGAGGGTGATGGAGCATTGGCAGAGGCTGCCCAGGTGGAGCCAGCATCCCTGGAAGGGTTGAAGAAATGTGTGGATGTGGCATCTGGGGACAAGGTTTAGGGGTGGGCTGGGGGAACAGTTGGACTTGGTGGTTGCTGGGGGCTTTTCCAGCCTAAAGGATTGCAGGATGCTGTGGTTCAGCCTCTGTCCTTTCTCTGTATGAAGTGTTTGTTCTTCTGTATGGAGGCAGTAGGAACCACTCACCTCTTTCAGAACTCCCTCAGACACAGTGGGAAACCAATGTCTTGGACATTGGACTAAATGTAGTCCAATACTGGACTAAATATTTAATATTTAGTGCTTTAATAATACCTAATTTGACTTAATAGGTCTAGTACCTAATTTGACTTAATGGATCCCTAGGCACTCCAGAACCCTGAGCCACATAACACAGTGTTGCAATCAGGGCAGGGGCTCTGTTCTACCTCAGCTCCTGTGTCCTCCCTGCCTTGGCCTTACCTTACTTTTGGCACTAACATTTGGAGATGTTTGGGTGGATATTAGGGGAAACTCCCTCATGAAAAGGGTGGTCAGGCACTGGCAGAGGATGTTTGGGGCAGTGCTGGAGTCCCCATCCCTGGGGACATGGGGACGTGGTCAGTGGTGACCTTGGTGCTGCTGGTTGATGGTTGGACTCAGTGATCTTAAAGATCTTTTCCAGCCTTAGCAATTGATAATTCTGTGCTGCCCAAAGCTGTCATTAACCAGATGCCTGTTGGTCAGGGGGGCTCAGTTACTTGTGCAGCTTGCCCCAGTCCCTGTGCAGTGACTGATGGCTAATTTTGTCCCCCCAGTTACCTGTGCAGTGACTGATGGCTGTTTCTGTCACTGTGCAGTGACTGATGGCTGTTTCTGTCCCCCCAGTCTCTGTGCAGTGACTGATGGCTGTTTCTGTCCCCCTAATCCTTGTGCAGTGACTGATGGCTGTTTCTGTCCCCCTAATCCTTGTGCAGTGACTGATGGCTGTTTCTGTCCCCCCAGTCCTTGTGCAGTGACTGATGGCTGTTTCTGTCCCCCTAATCCTTGTGCAGTGACTGATGGCTGTTTCTGTCCCCCCAGCCCTTGTGCAGTGACTGATGGCTGTTTCTGTCCCCCTAATCCTTGTGCAGTGACTGATGGCTGTTTCTGTCCCCCTAATCCTTGTGCAGTGACTGATGGCTGTTTCTGTCCCCCCAGTCCTTGTGCAGTGACTGATGGCTGTTTCTGTCCCCCTAATCCTTGTGCAGTGACTGATGGCTGTTTCTGTCCCCCCAGCCCTTGTGCAGTGACTGATGGCTGTTTCTGTCCCCCTAATCCTTGTGCAGTGACTGATGGCTGTTTCTGTCCCCCTAATCCTTGTGCAGTGACTGATGGCTGTTTCTGTCCCCCCAGCCCTTGTGCAGTGACTGATGGCTAATTTTGTCCCCCCAGTTACCTGTGCAGTGACTGATGGCTGTTTCTGTCCCCCCAGTCCCTGTGCAGTGACTGATGGCTGTTTCTGTCCCTGTGCAGTGACTGATGGCTGTTTCTGTCCCCCCAGCCCCTGTGCAGTGACTGATGGCTGTTTCTGTCCCTGTGCAGTGACTGATGGCTGTTTCTGTCCCCCCAGCCCCTGTGCAGTGACTGATGGCTGTTTCTGTCCCCCCAGCCCCTGTGCAGTGACTGATGGCTGTTTCTGTCCCTGTGCAGTGACTGATGGCTGTTTCTGTCCCCCCAGTATCGTCACAGTGGCCCTCCCTACGTCGGGCCACCACAGCAATATCCTGTGCAGCCACCAGGACCAGGACCCTTCTACCCAGGCCCAGGTCCTGGAGAATTCCCCAATGCCTACGGTGAGTTCTGCTTGGAGACTGCTTACAGTCTGTTCTTGCTGTGTTTTTCTGTTGTCAAGCTGAAGATTTAGAATAACAAGCTGGATTAGCATTTGTTTGAACTTCAAATAGCTGCTAAATTTGGTGGTGTCACAGCTCTGATTATTCACTCCTGAAAAATCCCAGAGTGTTGTTTGTGTGAGTGTGTCAGGAGAAGCTGCAGCTGCCCAGGATCACCTGTGGCCAGCACTGGGGCTGGTTCTTAGTCCCTGCTCAATCATTATTATTTGTTCAGGTACTGTGGGCACATTTGGCAGTGCTGGTTTTCACTGTGCCACGCCTGGCATTGCCAGTTAACTGCAGTTAACAGTTCTTAGCCCAGTGCTTCTTGTTGGGTGTATGCTGGGGGATAAGAACAAGCCATGTGGGTTTTTCCCTGGATTGATGCTGCCAAGGTAATTTAGTCCAGTCTGTAACTCCTGCAGAGGCCAAAACTTGGCCTTTTCCTGCATTGGGTCACTCACTGCTCCCTGCCCACTCACATTCTGCAGCCTGGTGGGGGCAGAGATATTCTCAGGCTCCCATGGGAATTCTCTGTTGAAATTTTGGAGCCTTGGAGTGACTGATTCCCTTCAGGCTGCCCAGTAACAGCCCTGCTCCCTTGGCAGAATTGCAGTTTGCTCTTCACACACAGAGATCCCTTTGGAGGGAGAGAAAAACCCAGTAGCATAATTCAGGAAGGTCTCTTATTTTTCCTCGTTTCCTTCTCTTATTTATCTGATCTGTGTGGAAGTAATGGGAATTATTGAAAGGTTGTCATGAAGCCCTTGAACCTGGTAATGCAATTTCAGAATAGGAGAGAGGGTAATTACAGGGCAGCTACTTCCTGGTGGTTGATCCTAGAGAAAATAGAAGAAATATTGTAATGGTGCTTCAAATCTGATCCACTAGATGAGGAAATTGCCTAGAATTCCTCATTTTTTGTGCTGTTACAGGTCTGCTTTCTTACTTCCTGCTTGCTTGGTGCCATTTTTCTGTCTTCACTCCTTTAATTAGGACAAGGTTCATTTCCAGCTCCTTTCCTCTCCTGGAAGCACCTGGGTTTTTGCAGAAAATCTTGAAATCTTTCAGTCCCAGCTTTAGGATGCTGCTGCTGTGGAGCATCAGTGGGTAAAGCCAGAGCTCTCTGTCCTGCAGAGTTTTCCAGGCAGGGAAGGTTTCACCAGGGATTTCCCTGTGCTTTCCCACCTTTCCCTGCTGTCACTCCCTTGCTGTGTTTGGTACTGGGAACGCTCAGGTGCTGCCAGGTTTGGGGAGCAGCTGAATCTGCATTCCAGGCATGGATAATGCTGCTGGCAGTGCCTTTTCCATCAGCCACAGGACTTGCAGCCAGTGTGGCTGCTGGACATGAAAATTATTGCAGCTGGCAACACCTAAAGAAGGTGATGAGGGAAAATACAGAGGAAGGCAAAACTTGTGAAGATGGACAGTGCAGTTTTATAACTCAGTTTTGCATTCTCTGATGTCAGGGAGTTTCTGTACAACACTGGGGAAGACATTGAAGTGATCAGTGGGTAGGAGAGAAAATAAAAGTTGGGTGCTGAAGAACTGGAAGGGATCAAAGGCAGAGAGCAGAGCAGAGAGTGTGGCACTGGCAAATGCACTTGGCTTGTCACAGAAGCTGTTTCTTCCCTGAAGTTATTCTTTTCAGGATTTAGGTTTTAAAAATACTTTTCCTAAAGGGAGAGAGTTGTTCCCTGAGTTCTGCTGGAGCTGCCTGTCCAGCAGGGATCACATTGCAGGTGATGTGGTTAGATCTGGTTTCTAGGAGGCTGCCAGTGAGGGGAATTCCCATCTTGCAGGATCCCAGGCTCCTCCTGTTCCCTCACCTTACCCAGGCTCTGCTTGGACACCTGCTCATCAGCAGGGTTCACAGAATCACCAAATCCCAGGATGGTTTGGCTTGGAAGGACCTTAAATCCCATCCAGTGCCACCCTTGCCATGGCAGGGGCAGCTTCCACTGTCCCAGGCTGCTCCCAGCCCTGCCCAGCCTGGCCTTGGACACTGTCAGGGATCCAGGGGTTGCCACAACTGCTCTGGGCAATAATTTTTGATTCCCAGCCTGCAGAGATGCAGACAGAGACTTTGAGGCCAGATCTGAAGTGGCTCTGCTGACCCTGGCATTCAAAGTGAGACATTTCTTGAGGGATTCAGCCCACCCAGGAGTGTCACTTTTAGCTCTTTGATGCCAACTCTTGCACAGAAGAGTTCCCTCTCTGAGGATGCAGACTGGGAGCCTGCTCTGAGCTGGGCTTTCCAGCTCTCAGCAGCAGGAATGCATCCTTGCAGCTGCAAATCAGGCTGTGCAGGGCTGGTTTCATTTGCTTTCTTGGATTTCACCCTTTGCCTGAAATCCAGCGACCTCCTGGTTGGGTTACAGGCACAATCCGGATTTTCAAACCCAGTTAGAGGTTATTCAGCTGAAGAATAGATGAGATTGTGCCAGAGGCAAGTGCAAGCCCTCAGTTCATCCAGCATCCCTGCCTGGAAGGGAGAACACCCAGCAGCACCTTACACATTCCCCTGACACCTGATCCATGGGCAGGAGGCAGCTCTGCTCTGCCACCCTCAGCTCTGGTGTGGTCTTAAAGCACTTGGTTATTCACTGAGCCACTCTCATTCCACTGAGAAAACCATAATGAGCCACACTGGCTGTTAGGAATGTGACCAGTGGTGTAATTCTGCACTCATCACCGTGGTTGTGCTTTTTGTGTGTTGCAGCATGAGAGGAACATTGCTCATAATTAAATTTTCTGGTTGTGCTTCCAAATAGGTTGCAGTTGACCTCACAAATTGTTTGTATTGGTTAGACAGAATTTCTCTACAAAGGCAGAAAACTCCTGATAAACCAGCAGCAAATCCAGCAGAAAACCTTCCTGTTTGCCAGGCAGAGGAGCCCAGGGATGCTCTTGCAGTGCCTCTGTGGTGTCCACAGCCTGTCAGACATAGCTCAGAATAACAAAGCTACTCCTCACACCCAGCTAAAGCATTTACTGGTCCCGGTATAGGCAATAGAAAAGACACCATTGGCACCATAGAGGGAAAGATGAAATAATAATGAAAACCAAGCTATAAACAGCAAAGATCAACCCTTGTATCTTTTGCATCATGGTCTGGCAAGAAAAACCAAGCAAAGTGAATTTAAGTTTGCCATCCCAAAACCCAATGATGTACATGGCCAATTTGGGGTCATGGAAATCAAATCAGAAATGGTGCCTGAACCTCTGGTCTTGATGCAGCATCAGCTTCTGTTCAGTGGCTGTGGAGCTGGGATGCTGGGAGTTGTGCCCAGCTGCACCTGTGGCGTTGGCTGTGTGTCCTGAGCTGACCTTGTCCCTCTGGTTTGTGTCCTTGGTGCCCCAGGAACACCCTTCTACCCCAGCCAGCCCGTGTACCAGTCTGCACCCATCATTGTGCCTACGCAGCAGCAGCAGCCGCCGCCTGCCAAGAGAGAGAAGAAAACGGTGAGTGGGGAGCTCTGTCCTGGGGGGACTGCAAGGACATTAATAATGTTCTTTATCCTCACTGGAGGCCCTGGCACAGGTGCCCAGAGCAGCTGTGGCTGCCCCTGGATCCCTGGCAGTGCCCAAGGCCAGGCTGGCAGGGCTTGGAGCAGCCTGGCACAGTGGGAGGTGTCCTGCCCATGCTCTAAGGTGAGCTTTAAAATCTCTCCCACCCCAAACCAATTTGTCATTCCCAAAGAGATGAAGTGTAATTTAACATTGCACAGTGCTGGTTTCTGTTTTTCTATGGGCACTGTCCACTCTGATTTGTGACATCTCAGCCATTCGAAAAGGAAAATAATTTTGCTGGTTTTAAATTAGCATGAACAAAAGCAGCATGGTCTGCCCAAGCCTGGAATCCTCACCTGTGCTGCTGCTTAAAGGGGTTCACTCATTTCCACCTGGCTCCCACCAAAAAGCCAGGTGGGAATGAGTGAACTCAGCAGTTTGGGAGAATATTAAGAATTAGTTCAAAGTAACAAATCAGAAATTATTGAATATTACACCTTGAAAAAGGTGGAAAACCAGGAGGTTGTGGATGTATTTGCAGACTTGAAAGAGCCTGACCACATTATCAAAGTGGATATGGGTTTGGAGAGCACATTCCCTCTCTTTCTAGTTCAAGGGGGGAATTTGAGAGAGGCAGATGAATGGAATTTAAACCCATCTACAGGTGGGGAACAGTGGAGGTGTGTGGGGTGAATGTGAAGTTGAACCAGGAAAAGATGGTGTGGGCTTGAACTTGTGAATGAATCGTTTGTAAAGGACTGAAAAGGAAATTACAGCAGTGTTTGTGTGAGAGTGTTTTGGAAACATTAAAAGAACAGTTTCCTGGGGGTAGAAAAGAATAAAAGGACTTAGACATGTCTCAAAATGCAGAATATTTGCATCTCTGGAGTTTTGAGGGTGATCTGGGGTGACACTTGATTTGGGAGACCGGAAGAGCTGAACAATGTGTGAGCTGTGCCTGCAGGAAAGGCCTTTTTGGTGGCTGCTCTCAGCAGCTTTTTTGTCACCTCCTCAGTCCCCAGGAGTCTCTTTTCAGCATCCCAAACACAACATGCCCAGATCCCCGATGCCATTGAAATGCAGAGCTGATCAGACACGCTCAGCTGGGATTAAGGCAGTTCCATGCCAACCAAGCTGAGTTCTTTGAGGCAGAAAAGGCATTTTAAATGCCCAAGATGCTTCTCTCTGAATGTGCTGTTTCAGTTTGGTAATTGGTGTTGCAACTGGAGAAATGAGAAAAATTAAATGCATTAATGTGCACATGCCCACATCCACCATGAGTTGAGTATTTGAGTGCTACAATTTTCCCTTGCAGGCAGGGAAATCTTGTTTTTAATGCCATTGACTGTGTCAGGCAGAGGAGAGGGCCAACTCTCAGGTTGTTACTGTAGTTAATGAAATATTTTAGCAAAAAAATATATTTTTGCTAAAATATTTCATTTATCCTTGTTTTATCAAAAATAAGAGAAGCCCAGACTCAACACCCTGAGTACAGTGTGTGTATTTGTGTGTGTGTTCACAAACAGAGTGAAGCCACCAAACTGAGTTTGACAAATCACAAAGCCCTTCTGCAGTTCCAGTTTTATATCCCAGAATCCCAGAAGGGCTTGGAAGGTCCTGCAGGACCATTCCCACCCCTGCCACGGCACAATTAATTACAGGGAGGTTTCCAGCAGAACCCCTGCCCTGGGAAGGGTGATGGTGTCTCTTGGTTTGCTTGGAGTTGTTTGCTTGGATTTCTGCATGGAATTAATCTCAAGTTCAGCCAAGAGCTTTGGAGAAGGTGGGCAGATACACAGAGCTCTGTCTTTAGGGTTTTCAGATTCTACTGGAGGTGAAAAGCTGTTTCACATTACCCCAGACCTGCTGGCTCTTCCCCCTGCTCAGGGACATGGATTGGCTCAAGTGTCAGTTGAGGATTCACTGAGTGTTCTGGAGTGGTTTATTTTGGAAAATATTTTTTCTTCCCATTTTGGTGCTGTGAAGAGACTCAAAAATCCCACTTTTTTCTTAAATGCTGCAGAGTTCTAAGGACTTGAGTTTGTTCTTTCAGTTTCCCTTTCCTCCACTCAGTATTTTTGTTTGATTCCCTCTATTTTGGTGGAACTGGGAACTGATTTGCTTTCCCCCTTTTCCAGAAGTGGTCTGGCAAGGTCAGGGAGTTTCCTGCAGGGTAAAAAACAGCCTTTTCTCCATTCCTGCCCTTTCCACTACTGGGCAAGCTTAGCTTGTACCTGAACTGTCTCCCACTTGTTCTCAGCTGCAGGAAACTCACGTTCCCCCTGTATTTTGCATTGCAGGGTGCACATATTTAGACTGAACTTGGTGTGGTTGATGATTCAATTAGATTTTGATTAAATTAGGTGTTGATGAAGGGATGACATGCCCTGCATTCCAAGCCATGGAAACAAGGCACATCCCAGTGCTGCTGCTGAGCACCAGCTCACCCCAGAGCATCTCCTGCTGGCTGTGGTGGGAGCTTGTGCTGTACACCAGGACAGCAGTAACAGAACACTTGTGGGAATTATTCCTTTGTTCTTACTGCAATTCTTTCAATCCTGCAGATCCGAATTCGGGATCCAAACCAGGGGGGCAAAGACATAACAGAGGAAATCATGTCTGGAGGGGGCAGCAGGAACCCCACGCCCCCCATCGTCAGACCCACCTCCACCCCGACTCCACCTCAGGTAAGGAAGGGCTCTGCTCCTCCCTGGGACCCCTCCCTCACACCTGCAGCCTCACCTCTGACCATCCCAGAGACCTGGATGCCCCCAAATGATCAATGTTCTTCAGCCATGATGTTTTCCCAAGTTGGATCATTGGAGCCCCAGTGCTGCTGTACTTTCCCCTCCCTGGTTTTCTACCAGCAGTAGATTTTCAGTGTTAAAGGAGGAGCCAAAATGTGGGAAAGGAGATGTCTCTGTTAAGTCTTGTGCACCTGAGGAAAGTCCATGTCACACAGTGATTGATCACAGACCTTCACTTGCTTCACTTTTCTTTCTGCCTTTGTGCAGCTGTTTTAGAGTCACCAGAAGATCTGGACCTCAGGAATTTTCTCACAGAACTGTAATGAGTTATCACACTTTTGTTCTCTGGGTGTTCAAACTTAACAATGCATTTTGCTGGTGAGAAAAAAAATTATAAATACTCCAAAAAAATTATAAATACTCCATTTTCTGTAGGTCTTAAATCCCTTCTTGTCACGCACCTTTGAGTCTGACCCCTTTAAGTCCCTGGTTAGAGGTCAGGAAGGTTCTCCAGCTGAAGGCTGGGCTGTGGAGCAGAGCTGGAGCTGGGATGTGATTTCTTCTTCTTCTTCTTCCACCTTCTTTGCTGTTTGATGTCACCAGCTTTTGGCAGGTTTTAAGGTGAAACAGCTTTTCCTGAGCTCAAACCTTCCTTTCCTCTCTGTGTGGGAGTGGATTTTCTGCTGAAAGTCCTGTCTGGGAGCACTGTGCTGGAGTGAGATCTGGGGATTGCAGGGAGATGTGACTGAGGAGAAGTGAGAGAGATCCTGGAGATCCCTCCCTGGGACCAGCAGGGTTTCAGTTTTCATCTTTCCCAGCTGAGCCAATCCTTGTGTCCCTGAAGGCACCACCTTTGTGTGCTTCGTGTGGTTTTCTCCTCTGGTCCCTACCCAGGACAAGCAGCAGCAAGGCTCCAGGTCAACTTCTTTCCATCAGAGATGCCAAACCTGGGAATCTTGGTGAGATCATCTCCCCATTTCTTCTTCCTACCCATCCTTCCCTCTTGGAAGTGGGAAGAGTTGGAACCAGCCAGGATTTCCCGTGGTATCCCTGCACAGTGCAGTGAATCCAGGCACTTACCTGATCATTCTTACATTCTGAAATCTATTTTAAGGCACTACAATTAAGTCAAACAGAAAGAAATAAATGTATTTCAAGAGGAGGTTACTAGGCCTGAATTGTGATCAGCTGTAATTTAGATGCAGAGCACAGCAGTGATGTCCAATCATCTCCTCCAAGGTATGCAAATATCCCATTGTTTAATATCCAGCCTTCCTTTTGATGAGGTGCTTAGAACCACTTTTGGTAATCACAGAAGAGCTCTGAAATTGGGCTCACCAGAATAAGTTCATTAGTGTAACATAACTGAAAATTTAAGCCCACTTAAGCCAGGAAATTCAACATTATTGTCCCAACAGCTTCTCTAAATCAAGTCTTGGGAGCACATTTAATATCTTGGGTGAAATTAAATAGTGCCTTAATAACTGCACAGGAATTGCACTGGTGGGGGTGGGACTGTTTTGAACAGGCTCCAGTCAGTAAATTCTCAATATTCAGCCATAACTTCTGAGATGCTCCTGACTTGGGGCAGCTCCTGAGACAATGCTGGAGGAGCAGAGCTGCTGCTGTTTGTTCCATCCCCTGGAAAAAACCCTGCTGACCCCCTAAACCAAACCCTGCTCACCCCAAACCCTGCTTACCCCATGGATCAAACCCTGCTCACCCCAAACCCTGCTCACCCCTGGATCAAACCCTGCTCACCCCAAACCCTGCTGAACCCAAACCCTGCTGACCCCCTAAACCAAACCCTGCTCACCCCAAATCCTACTGACCCCCTGGAAAAAAACCTGCTCACCCCAAATCCTGCTCACCCCAAACCCTGCTGACCCCCTGGACCAAACCCTGCTCACCCCCCTGAATCAAATCCTGCTGACCCCTGGATCAAACCTTGCTCATCCCAAACCCTGCTCACCCCCTAAACCAAACCCTGCTCACCCCTAACCCTACTGACCCCCTGGACCAAACACCCTGCTCACCCCAAACTGTGCTGATCCCCTAAACCAAACCCTGCTCACCTCAAACCCTGCTGACCCCTGGACCAAACCCTGCTCACCCCAAACCTTGCTCACCCCAAACCCTGCTTGCTCAGCTCCCTGGACAAAACCCTGCTCATCCCAAACCCTGCTCACCCCCTGGACCAAACCCTGCTCATCCCAAATCCTGCTCACCCCAAACCCTGCTCACCTCAAAACACTGCTGAGCCCCCTGGACCAAACCCTGCTCACCCCAAACCCTGCTCACCCCAAACCCTGCTGACCCCCTAAACCAAATCCTGCTCACCCCAAACCCTGCTCACTCTCCTGAACCCAAACCCTGCTCACCCCAAACCCTTCTCACCCCCTGGATCAAACCCTGCTCACCCCAAACCTTGCTCACCCTTTGGATCACGCCCTGTTCACCCCAAACCCTGTTCACCCCAAACCCTGCTCACCCCAAACCCTGCTGAGCCCCCTGGGTCAAACCCTGCTGAACCCAAACCCTGCTCATCCCCTGGACCAAGCCCTGCTCACCCCAAACCCTGCTCACCAGGGTACTCGTGGAGATTTCACTGCTTGAGCACTCAAAATGTGAATGTGCAGCCTCAGGGCAGCACCAAAGTGACTCCCAGCCCAATGAGATTTTTAGAATTACAGCAATTCTTCCTCTGAATCTGCTATCTCATTATTTAAATGGCACAAACACAGAGGAAGAAACATCCTCAGGAAGTGCTGGAGACAACTCCCTGTTCCAAATTCTGCATTTGAAAAAGAAACCCTTTTATAATAGTAATAGTTTCCAAATTTTCATTTTTTCTTTTTAGTTTTTCTTAAAACTAAATTAGATTTAGATTTTTTAAATCTAAATCTAATTTAGATTTGAATTACTCTATTAACAGACTCAAATAAACCAAAACTTAGCTAACACAAGCCCAAAGCACCCTCTTCTCTCAGTAGATTAGGGGCTGAACATCAAAAAATTGTTGTAACTGTGCTTAACATCAAAAGTCACTGGAATTGTGCAGAAGATGAGCATTGCTGCCAGGATGAGCTGCGTGGTTTGAGCCATTCCTGTACCTTTTACTCATCAGCACTGACCAAAAAGTCCTTTAGGTGGAGTTTCCCAGTGCCTCTGCAGTGTATTTTAATTGTCTTTGAGCAAGTAAAGTGCTTTAAAGCTCCTGCAAGAGAAGCAGGAGGCACATGGATATATGATTTATCCATTTCTAGCCAGACATTATTTGCACTCTGGTTTTTGCTGGGAAGAGAAAGAAAACCCAGGGCCAGAATCTGGTTATGGTATTGCCTCAGCACTGGCTTCCACAGGAGATCACTTTTTAAAGAGTGACTGCTCTTATTTCCCTGGCCAAACTCTTCCAAGTGAGTTTGTCAGAGTTGTGTTTGCTCAGTGTCCAGGAGTAAAATAACCCAGAGCAACCCTTGGAGCATCATAAATCAGGGGAGCAATTTTCAGTGGGATTTTTTGCATAAAAACTCTCTAAATGCTCCATTTTGCAGCTGCAAGGCTCAGTGCATAAGGACCATTTATTCATTTGTAATATCATTCCTACAAAAGAAATGTTTTCCACATTTCTGAAGGAAATACATTTCCTGACCCAAGAAGTTTCTGGCCTCACAGGTTTCTTCTTCACTGCTCTGCTTAGGTTGGTTCTTATCGGTTTCCCTTCTCCACACTGATTTAATCCATAAATTTTCTTATAAAAGGAAAGTTTTGATCACTGAGGGTGAGGGGAAAATGTTCTTGAAACTTGCTCATTTGTAGAGCAGGGTTTTCTTTGGCTTCTTCCCTTTGGCTGCAGGCTGGGCTGCAGTTCTTCATTCATTCATTCTCCAGTCAATCTGTCAGGCTCATTCCTGAAAGAGGAGCAATCCCAAAGAAAACTTCAACCCTTCACCCCCACTTAAATCTTCATTCTTATTTTTCCAGATGTGCTTTTTCCTGGTCTTCCTGAAATGGTGAAAAATAAAGAGAATTCCCTCTTTATCCTGCACTGTTCAGATGCAATAGGCAAAAAGCTGGAGATGGGAGGAAAAAACAGAGTCCCAGGAAGAGCAGCAGGTTGCCAGAGCATTTCCTTTTATAGGGAAATAAGTTTTGCATGGATTTCTGAGAGCCTGTCTGCAATCAGGGGTGATTAAAAAGTCCTTTTCCTGTAGCTGCTCAGAGGAGTTCATGGATGTGGAGCTGGGTGAGAGCAGACAGCTGCAGGAAGCTGCCTGGCTTTCAACTTGGGATTAGGAAATTAAAATTTAGCCCCATTTTCTTCTGTGCCTGGTCCCCAATGTGTATTGAAGGGGAATTTGTGACCTGTCTGTGGTCACTCCAGCAGCTGCCTCCCCTTTGAGTCTGGGGCACTAACTTGGTCTTCTTAAATTCTGAGACTAAATACAAAAGATTTTAGCAAACTTTCTGTTTGCACAAGTGAGTGTTTGGTGGGAGACCACTGAAATACGTGTGTCTGCCACAGGCTGGGGCTCCTTCAGTTCTTTGCAGGCTTTTTGGGTTTGTTCTTCCATACAGAAATCCCAGTCCATGTTCTTGGGGAATCTGCTCCTGCTGCTCTCCCTCAGATTTCTGCCCAGCTGGTTTTATTCTCTCTTGCCCTGCAGGTCCCATCCCCAGGCTGCTCACAGGGGGTGCTGGGGATGTTTTCCATCCAAGCACTGCCAGGCTGGGATGGTTTTCCCCCTGGGATCAGGAGTGCTGTGTGTGCAGACACATCTGTGCACTGTTCATCCCACCCTGCACACATCAGCTCTGATAAGTACACAGAGGAGTAAATCAATAGATCTGAATCTCTCAGGGGGTTGAAATAATGGAGCAGTGGAGAAAGGAGACAAAAATCCCAAAGGTGAACTGAAGTCACAGAGGGATGCAGGAGCCCTGGTGTGTGTCCTGCATGGGGGAGCTCCTGAGAGGTGTTGGGAGGGCAAAGCACATTGATACCAGTGCTGTGCTGTCCCTTCCTTGCTGTCCTTAACAGGGAGCATCTCCTTCCCCTTTTCCTGCTGCCTTTCCCTCCCTTTCCCATGAACTTTTTGGATTTCTTATTGACCTGTGTACCTTTTCTCTATTTTTTCTCTTTATTCTCCCCACCTTTGCTTTCTCCTCTGCATCCCCCCTGTCTCACCTGCCCCTTGCCTTTGCTGCCTGTTTTGTGTTCCCAGGCTCATGGTGCTGTCCCTGTCCCCCAGCAGGTGCCCAGCCAGGTCCCCGAGCCCGTTCCCACGGCGTTGGCAGCCCTGGAGAGCTCCCACCCCTCCAGCAGCACTGCACCCCCTGCCTCCAAACAAGGTCAGTTAATGGAGATTTCCTCCCTCAATATTTTCAATCATTTATTTTTTCCCCTCCTTTCTTGTTTTAGTTGGAATATTTTTGGCAGGGAGACCAGCAGGCAGCAGAAATAGGAGGGGAGGAACTTCTCTTCCTCCAGTGGAACATTTTAAGTGTGTTGCTAAGGCAATTAATTGGAATTTGCTAATGTGGAACTGGTTAAAAATAATTGTCTTCAATCTTCTGTGTCCTAAATGTTGTTTGAGAGCACACAGAAGGAAGAAACTCCTCTCACCCAAGTGCCATCCTCCAGAAGCCAGCGTGTTGTCAGGGAAACACTGTAGCCAGAGAGGTTTTGGATCATTTGGATAATTAGCCCCAGCAGTGGCACAGATCCAGAGCATCATATGGCTTCCCCAGAGCTGCCTGTGTGTCCAGCCCTGCAGGAATGGGCAACATTAACTAAGAAAAATCCCATTAGTGTGCCAAGTGCCTTATAAAGCCCACAGCAGATTTTGCTGACTTTGGTAAAAATGGCACAGATGGAAAGAGTTTCTGAGAATTCCATTTCCTTGGACAAGGCTCTGAGGCACAGGATGGGATCCTTGGGGTCCCTGCACAGGGCCAAGAGTTGGACTCAGTGATCCTGATGGGTCCCTGCCAGCTCAGGATATCCCATAATATACATTGGAAGGGAGATTTTTTAAAGCTGTTCAAGGAAATTGTCCCAGGAGGCAACAGAGCAGGGCCAGGCTGTTCCCACACTGGAATTTTTATTTCAGGGTATCCATAGTATCATGGAAGACTGGGATTTTTATTTCAGAGTATCATGGGGTGCTGGGATTTTTATTTCAGAATATCCAGAGTATCAAGGAGTCCTGGGATTTTTATTTCAGAGTATCATGGAGTGCTGGAATTTTTATTTTAAAGTATCATAGAGTGCTGGGATTTTTATTTCAGGGTATCCAGAGTATCAAGGAGTCCTGGAGTTTTTATTTCAGACTATCCAGAGTATCATGGAGTGCTCAATTTTTTTATTTCAGACTATCCAGAGTATCATGGGGTGCTGGGATTTTTATTTCAGATTACCCAGAGTATCATGGAGTGCTGGGATTTTTATTTCAGAGTATCCAAAGTATCCTGGAGTGCTGGGATTTTTATTTCAGAATATCCAGAGTATCAACGAGTCCTGGGATTTTTATTTCAGAGTATCATGGAGTGCTGGGATTTTTATTTCAGGGTATCCAGAGTATCAAGGAGTCCTGGGATTTTTATTTCAGACTATCCAGAGTATCATGGAGTGCTCAAATTTTTTATTTCAGACTATCCAGAGTATCATGGGGTGCTGGGATTTTTATTTCTGAGTATCCAAAGTATCCTGGAGTGCTGGGATTTTTATTTCAGGGTGTACTGAGTATCATGGAGTGCTGGAATTTTTTATTTCAGAGTATCTAGAGTATCAAGGAGTCCTGGGATTTTTATTTCAGAGTACCCAAAGTGTCATGGAGTGCTGGGATTTTTATTTCTGAGTATCCAGAGTATCAAGGAGTCCTGGGATTTTTATTTGAGAGTATCATGGAGTGCTGGAATTTTTATTTTAAAGTATCATGGAGTGCTGGGATTTTTTATTTCAAAGTATCCAGAGTATCATGGGATACTGGGATTTTTATTTCAGGGTGTACAGAGTATCATGGAGTGCTGGGATTTTTATTTCAGAGTATCATGGAGTCAGAACATCTCCAGCCACAAGGACCCTGTAAAGATCACCAAGTCCAACCCCCTGCTTCTCACAGGGTCACCTACCACTAAATCCTATGACCAGGAGCTCCTTGAACTCTGATCTCTGAAAATCCAGCACTTTCCATCACAGTATTTCATCTCTGTGTATGAAAATGTGGATTGCCACAAACGGGTCTTATCCCTCTTCTCTCTCTCTCTTTAACTTAATCCCTTTGTAGGCAGCTGTGAGTAAACTGGAAGTAAGTGTTTGCTTAGTTACACAGCTCTGACAGTGCTGGTTTAAACAAAGCAGGGCTTGACTGGGGTTTAACACTGATGAGCTTCCCTGTGTTTATCTCTGTTCCATCCCAGGAAGAGTCAAACATTTGTTCCAGTCCAAAAATTGCTAAAGAGCACATTTATGTAAGCACTGCAGGGAAAGCCCTGGAATAACACCCAGCCATGGCTGGGGGGGCAGAGCAGTGCAGGGGTTGGTGTCAGTAATTAACAGAGCCTGTTAATGATATTTAAACTGAACTAATGACTTTTGGGGGGCACATCTGTTCAGAAATACATGCCATGGTATTGAAATGATTTTTCACTTTGATATTGGGGGATTTTTGTTTCCAAAACAAGAGCAGTGACAGAGAGGGCTATGTGGCTGAAGTGCTCATTCAAACCAGTGCTGTTGTTTCTCCAAAGAAAACAGAGTACCTGTCCTGTCCATCCTCATATTGGATCTCCTCATGCTCTTCCTCTCCTGTGCCCTCCTGTGCTGGCAGCTGTTGAAGTTTGGAATCAGCTTTCACTGTGATTCTGTCACAGCCAGGGCTGCTTGTGCAGCTGCTTCTGACAGTGAGCAGCATCTGGCAGCATCTGGCTGGTGTGCTGGGCTCAGGGTCAGGATCAGGGTCAGGATCAGAGCTGTGTGCTCTGCCAGCAGACCAGGACCTGCAGTCCCTGCTGGCTTGGTCTGCAACTCATTCCCGAGGCTGGATTTGGGATTGCCTTGTTTAAATCCGTGGTTGGGGTTTTTTTAAAGACAAACCTTTGGCATTTTGTAGAATCCCAGAATGGTTTGGGTTGGAGGGACCTTAAAGGTCCTTCCATTCTGACCCCACTGCCATGGCAGGGACACTTCCAGTGCACCAGGTACAGGAATTGCTGCTGTAATACCTTGAAGAATCACAATATTTAGGTGCAGGTTGTGTTGCTGGAGATGCCCCTGGTGTGTCCATACCAGCCAGGCTGGCAGAGGGGAGGATTCTGCTGCAGAATCCAGGTCAAGCCAGGCTGGTGCAGGAGCTGCAGTGGGATAGAACTGCATGGAATCAGAGCTGCCCACATTTTTTCCACTTTTTCCACTCAGAGGGATGTTTGGAGTAGTATTATCCTCTTTTTAAACCTCTTTCCAAATCTTGCAATGTATCAGACATGGAGAATGTTCAGCATAGTTTGTGGAAGACAGATGAATGTCAGACCCTGGAGTTTGGAAAGCTCCAAAGCCCCTGTGCTGACACTGAGTCAGTCCTGGTGCCACCTCGTGAGTGTTTGCATCGGGACAAAAGATGGAAAAATGGCAGAGAGCCCAGCAGTTATTGTCAGATAAACACCACAGGAACAGGAACAAAGAGCAGGAACAAATTCCTGTATCCAGTGAACTCCTCCTTGTGCACTGCCCTGGGCACTCTGTGCCACTGGGACCACCCAGCAGCCCAGCAATGGCTCTTCCATGAAGCAGGCAGGGGGCTCTGTCCCACTGGGTATGTGAAAGAATCTTTAAGGAAAAATAATTTTGCAAAAATTGTATTTATCAGGAAATTTTAAAAAATATATCTTTATATTTCCCCTGGAATAGCCAGCACTTCCTGTAAATACTTTCTAAATATAACATGAGGAATGATCTCAGTGTGTTTAGGAAGAGGGATTTGATCCAGTTGGGATGAATTGTGCTGATTTTTCTTTTCCCTCCCCAGCTGTGAGTTGTCCATGTGACTCTCTCTAACAGTTGGCAGGGATGAGTCCTGCTCTGCCAGGACTTGGAGATTTCTTCTCTGGGATGGGGGTTCAAGTTCAGATTTGCTTCTCATTAGCCAAATCTGCGCCTCATTCTCTGAAATCCCTCCTTAAATCACTTTTCTCTGGGATTTTGCACACACAGCCTGTATCCATGTAACATTGGCCAGACAAGGTGTGGTTTGAAGGAAGGGAGTTAAACCTCTGGTTTCAAATGCAGCTGTGGATTTGTGCTGGTTTTATCTCCCAGAATTATTTCCTTAACATTTGAAATGCCTTTGGTTGGGTTTGTTGGTTTTTTTTTTTTTTTTGAGCATTCTCCTTTGACTGGGGGAGAGAATATCCAGGCAGTTGTTTATAGTGAGCTGTAAATGTCAGGAATGCTCCAGGAATTCCTGCAGAGGATGTTCCAGAAATCAGAGGTGACATGTTTTCCTTTTCCAAACCACTTCCTGCATCCTTTTCCTTCCACGGAGCCTCCAAAATCAAAATCAGCTGTTGGGATGCTCTTTCCCATCTCTTTCCTCACTTGTCATCCCCCTCCAAAGCCATGTCCCTGGGTGCCTCATTAGCTTGATAAACTACTGCTTTGGCCATGGGCCTCTCGAGTGCTGCTGGGGCTGCTGAGGGCTGCAAGCTGAGCTCCAGTTATTCCTAAAGGTGGGATTTGGAGCTCCAGGCAGTTTCAAATGGGTTCTCCTTCAAAAACCCTTTGGTTCTGCTTCCAAAACCCTTTGGTTCTCCTTCAAAAACCCTTTCCCTTCCACTGAGCTGTTGAATAAGCCCCAGATGAAAATACAGCAGAGCCAAACCTGTTCCATTCTGCCTGAATTTTGATGATTTGCAGTTGGTTGTGGCCTTTGACTCCTAATCTGAGAGCAGGTTTGTGCCTCTGGCTTCTCCAGAATTATTTTGCTGGTGTAACCATGTCCTGAAGGAGTCCAGTGTTCCTGCAAGATCCTAAACAATAATGGCTCATACTTTTGGAGCAAAGGAGTGGGAGGCAGCAGAGCTGCAGCAGGGCTTTGGGAGCTGGGTCATGGTGATGGCAGGGATGGGATGGGATCACCAGGTCTGCTGCTAATCATGGGACAAGTGCAGGCACTTCCTTCTGCACAAGATTTGGGGGGTTGTGTTGATACATTTCTTCCAAATATCTAATCTAAACCTCTTCTCTTTCAGTTTAACCCATTCCCCGTTGTCCTGCAAGGTTTTGTCCATATAAAAAGTTGCCCTCCTTGCTTTATAAGCTCCCTTTAGGCACTGGAAGGGTGCAGTGAGTCTCTCCAGATCCTTCTCTTCTCAGGATGGCAGAGGTTGTATTTTCAAGTTTAGATTCCCAGTGAGGTGCAGGGGTCTCTGGTGTTTTCCTCGGAGCTCCTTGGCAGAATGCAGGAATGGGAGCCAGGGCACCAGGCAGGACATGGAGTTGCCTTGCTGTTGATAATGGTTTTTTTTTCTCCTTTCCCAGAAGAGAAGCCAAAACCAGATCCAGTATTAAAACCACCTTCTCCAGTCCTCAGAGCAGAACCTGCTGGGGAGAAGAAAGATCAAGCTGGGCAGACGGCTGAGATCCCTCCCTCAGTGGAAGCCCCAGCAGAGGCTCCTCGTGCTCCATCACCGGCCCCGGCCGCTCCGGTCCCCGCTGTCCCCGCGGCCGCCGCCGCTGTCCCCGCGCCCAGCAGAGCCGAGCCGGAGGACAAATGTGACAAATGTGAACTGGCCTTCCCCAGAGAGGAGGCGCTGCCTTCCCCCAGTGCCACAGCCTGCCCGGAGCCTGCGGCCGCTCCTCCTGAGGAGGGTGCCGAGGCGTGCCCGGAGCCCAGCAGTGCAGTAGCATCCCCCGGGGACGCCCCGGTGCCACTGCCGGCCGTGCCCGCTGTCACCGGCGACACGGGCGGCGCCGAGGCCGCGGCTGAGGCGGCTCAGGAGGAGGCTGCGGCGGTGACTGTGGAGGTGGAGCCCAGCGAGGCCGCCCCAGCGGAGGTGGAGAGCGCTCCATCGCCTCCCGGTGCTCCCGCCGCTGCTCCCTCTCCTCCGCCCACCCCGCCGCCCACCCCGCCGCCCCCGGCCCCTCCGCTGCCCCCCAGCGCTGCTGTCACCACTACAACTCCTTCTCCACCTCCTCTCCCGTCTCCCAGTGCCCTCCCTGGTGTCCAGGGGGATTTAGAAGGAGAGGAGAGCACAAGAACTACTCTTAGTGAAGAGGTAAAAGAAACTGAAAAGAAGGAAGAGACAGAAGCAGATGGGCAACTGGAGGAGAGCCGGGAGGCTCTGAGTGTGAACTCAAGCAAGAGTCCTGTCCCAGGTAAGCCTTGGGCTCTGGGGGTTCATGTTGGGAACTGCAGGATGAAGGAAAGAGGCTTTTTCTTCTTCCAATAGATATTTCTGTTTCCATCTGCAGAAGAAAAAGCCTGGTGGTGCTGGGTGGCTGCTGTGACTGTGAAATGCTGATCTTCCTTGGCAGGGATAGAAATCCCTCCTGGTAGTTCAGAATTGGTCACTGACTTGCATTGGTGTCCCAGGCTGGGCTGGGCTCATGCTGTCATGGCAGCACAGGGCTGGTGGAGGGGAGTGCAGAGCACACTGCTCTTCATGGAATCCATGGTTTGGATTGGAGGGGCCTTAAATCCCACCCAGTGCCATCCCCTGCCGTGGGCAGGAGCACCTTTCACTGTCCCAGGCTGCTCCAAGCCCCAGTGTCCAACCTGGCCATGGACACTTCCAGGGAAGTGTCTGTACTTCCCACAGCTGCTCTTTCCCCCAAGGTGAGTGGTCGGTCCAAGGGCCAGTGGCTCTGGATTTGGGACTCTGAAGCTCTTGGCATGAAGCCCCAGAGCTGCTGGAGTGGGGTCTTTTCCAGCTGAAAAAATGTGTCATGGTGTTCCCAGATGTGGGAAAATGAAATGGACCATTCACACTCACCCACACAACTGACACAGAGTCACACCAGGGTCACCCACCAGGGTCACCCACCAGGGTCACCCACCTCTACCTGCCCACCCTTCACTAGTGATGCTTCTGGTTTTCTTTTGCAGAAGTCACATGTAAGCAAAATGTACAATTTACAATTTTAAATTTAAATGTACAATTTACAATTTTAAATTTAAATTCTGCAGTTAACAGTTTAAAGTTCACTAAAATCACAATTTCTGCAACTGCCTTTTAAAATCCAGCTTGTTTCTCCAGTGTTGTTGCCTGCCTTTGGTTTCAGCCCTGCCACATCTCTGCTTTGGCACTGTGGCTTTAACACTCTGTGTTTGCTATGGAAAATGGCTTTTTTTGCAGGACTTCCTGGAGATTGTGGAAAAGAAGTGAAATGATCAATTCCTTGTATTTGCTGCTGGAGGGGTGCAATGGGGGCTGTTCTTCACACCAAGCAGTGTTAAAACATCTCATGTGTCACAGTTTCTACATCCTGTTCTGCAGTTATTTCAGTTCCTTGGAACTTGGTGAAGCTTGGACAAGGAGGACAGTCAGTTGTTATTTGGATCATGTTGCTTTCATTTTTTAAAGTAACATTTCATTTAGGGTTTTTTTGTTTTTTCTTTGATAGATAGAAATCTCAGGCTCTGCTCTTAAATGCACTCAAAGGCTGAGGTTGGCCTTGTTCCATGTTTGTGTGATGCTCAATATGCTGATTTTAAAATCTAGTATCTACAGATGAGAAGAAAGATCCCTTTACTACACCAAGCATGAGGATTTTTTCTTGTTAATCTTCTTCTATTTTTATTTCACTTGGGTCATTTCACTGCTGTGGCACTTGTTGTTCTTTCAATCTGAGCTACTTCATAACCCAAATTAATTTCCTTAAAAAGGAGAGGAGAAATGGGACTCTGTAAATAAGGTTTTGCACAGGCAGGTTCCAGCTTGTAGTGTTATTGCTGGCTTTGTAATGGCCTGTAGTTTAAATTAAAAAAAAATTAACTTACAGTGTTTGGGCTTTTAATTATGCAGAAGATTAATTTTAATGCTGTAATGTCATTATGCTCCAGAGCACACATTAGCCAAGCCATTGGCTTTGGCAACATGGAAACAAGGAGTTCTCAAGTCATATAAAAGATGACTTGAAACTCAGATTTCTATTAAAAGCTCAGGGCTTCAAAGAAAGCACAAAGCTCTCCAAGTGGTTCTTTGTGCTCTACCCCTGATTTAATGATCCTGAACTGTTGCATTTCTCTGCCAGCCTTCTTTTCAGCAATAATTTTCCAGTTCTTTCTTGGAGAGAGGAAGAGAGATTGAAATAACATCATCTGAGGCTGCCTGCTAATTCAGGAACAAGGAGCAGCATGTCTGCCATATACATTGGAAAATCCAGCTGCTGACCCTCAGGAGCAAGGAGAAAGGGTTGTATTGTTGTGTTTTTCTTGGACTAAAGGCTGAGAGATTTTTTTATGATCTCTGGAGTTAGGATTAAACCTGGGATAAGGGAAACTGCTTGAGCACATGGTGGTAGCTGTGAGCTCTGTGACTTTGAGCAATATTTCTTTGGGGTTTTCAGCAGAATGGTGTTTTTATTGCAGATCTTGGCCACAAATCATGCCCCTGCTTTCCCTTTAAAGGGAGCTGAGCTGGGGCAGTGCTGGGACCTCTCGGGATAATCTCATTGCTGCAGCAGCTCCTCCTGCCTGTCCTTTTCATAGCCATGACCTGGCCTGCCTGATTTTGGGAATGAGACCTTCATCCCCTCCTCCTGAGCTGCTGGGGCAGCATTGCCAAGGCTGGATCCTGTATTTTGGGAGGTGGCAGCTTTTTGGGGATGAGCAAAAGGATTTGCCGGTTCCTGCAGAGTTGTATAGGACACAGCTTCTGTCCAACAGTCAGGGAAACCAGACTTGGATTTTTTGCTCTGTCAACCTCTGTGGCAAGAAAGAAAATACATTCAGACCTTAAACATCTTGATGCCGCAGCAGTTCTTTTTTTACAGCTCCACAAAAGGACTTGGTCAGTGTTTGCAGGGAGAGGCCAAAGCTGAGTTAATCCTGGGGGGATCCAGGGGAGCCTCCATTCCTCCTTTTCCACTGGCATTAGGTCTCCACCACATTTCCAAGGTCAGGGGATTCTGCTGGAGCACTGGGAGTGCTGTCCAGGGCAGTCTGGAATTCAGGGTTTGCTCCTCTTTCCAGTCCTGAAGTAAATCTGTGCTGTCACTCCTGTTATCTCCCTTGGCTTTGGAAGCTGTGATAAGAGCTCAGTGTTGGTTGGATTTCTGGTGTCCCTTCTTCAGAGGAGTGAAATGAGCTGAAAGCAAGGTCTGGAAGTGTGAACAGTGGCAAAAATGAACCTGCATTTGGGCAGGACCTAAATTATTGGAGAGGACATGAAGTTGCTCAACTTGGGGACAGGAAAATGGGAAATTAGACCAGAAGTGTCTGGAGTTGTCCCTTTCCAAGAGCCAAACCGGACACATTACTTTTTATTTCCCTACAGCCTCTCAGATGAAGCTCCATCTTCAGATGAATAACACCAATATCCATTGTTGGATCAGGGGTTTGGGAATGTTGGCACCCCAACTCACATCAGTGCAAATTCTCCCTTGAGCTCCTGCAGCAGAAATGTGAACTTAACAGAAAAAAAAGAAATCTGGTGTCTGCTATTTTACACTGAATTCTGCCTGCTCTGAGCACCCTTGGCAGCTTTGGTGTTCAGTCTCTGTCTGTGAGTGACTGGATCATCATTCCCTGCTCATCAGCATCACTGGTTGTGTGTCCTGATGAAAAGGGGAAGATTTGGTGGTTTCAGAGCACTAAAGCCCTGAGCAGGGCAGGGTGTTGTACCCATTCCTTGCTGCTGGCCCTGTTCCTGCTCTGAGCATCCACAGGGAACAGGTTCCCCCATTCCCAGGGCACAGGTTGTGTTCCTGCCTCCTCAGGAATTTTTGCCTGAAGATTTTAGGACAGGCAGAGCTGTATCTGCAAGGGGTAAGAACACATGCTTTTTAATTATTTCCTACTCATCTGCTCTACTGCTGTACAAGGAGAAAAAATAGCTTATCAAGAGAGGATCTGGGAGCTCCAATCTGCACTAAAAACATCACCCTGGCTAAAAGTCAGCAACAACTGTTGCTTTTTATTAAACTCTGGGATTTCCATGGCTACAGTGAGGGACCAGCACTTTCCAGGCAACAAAACAGAAAAAGTGTTGTTGGTGGAGTGGAATTTGTGCTGCCAGAGACCTGAGGCCTTTGATGTCACCATTCTATCATGGCTATTAAAGGAAGCAAAAAAGAAAACGAGACTGATGTGTGTCCCAGACAGAGCTCCTTGGGACACAAGAAGCTGAAAGAACTTAAAACACAAGGAATTCAAAGGCTATTTCTTGCAGAGCTCGTTTATGAGATATATTTCTGGATTAAGTAGCCCAGCTGTGGCGAGCCCTGGAGTTTCTGAGCTGAGGAGTCTCTAATGAGCAGCTTGGGCTGTAATTGGAAATTCCTTGGAGAAATTTCTCCAGCTCTGAAACCTGCAGAGGCAGAAACATAAATCAGGTGTCGCCTTTTTCTTGATTTGCTGCCATAACCACTGGAATATATTTTCTTTTCCATGAGCTGGAAGGCGATGGTGAATCTTTGCTTTGGTCTTTCGTGGCATGTTGGATAATAAAATAAAAATGCAAGAGCTGGTATTAATTTAGGCTTCACAGCTGGCACCACATCAGAGGGGAGAGGCCTCGTGCCCTGCTGGATGGGTGTGAGCTCATGGGTGGGTAAATCTGTGGGAAGATGTTCCACTGGGAACGTGACACAGCTGGAGAAATGGCTGAGGGAGCTCTGGGCCTGCTGAGCAGATCCTGCAGGGCTGGGAGTGCTGTCCAGGGCAGTCTGGAATTCAGGGTTTGCTCCTCTTTCCAGTCCTGAAGTAAATCTGTGCTGTCACCCCTGTTATCTCCCTTGGCTTTGGAAGCTGTGATAAGAGCTCAGTGTTGGTTGGGTTTCTGGTGTCCCTTCTTCAAAGGAATGAAATGAGCTGAAAGCAAGGTCTGGAAGTGTGAACAGTGGCAAAAATGAACCTGCATTTGGGCAGGACTTAAACTATTGGAGAGGACATGAAGTTGCTGAACTTGGGGACAGGAAAATGGAAAAGAAGAGCAGAAGTGTCTGGAGTTGTCCCTTTCCAAGAGCCAGACTGGACACATTACTTTTTATTTCCCTACAGCCTCTCAGATGAAGCTCCATCTTCAGATGAATAACACCAATATCCATTGTTGGATCAGGGGTTTGGGAATGTTGGCACCCCAACTCACATCAGTGCAAATTCTCCTTTGAGCTCCTGCAGCAGAAATGTGAACTTGACAGAAAAAAAAAGAAATCTGGTGTCTGCTGTTTTAAGAGAGGGGAAGACTGAGCAATGTCTCCAGAGATCTCTGGAGATCCACCCCAGGCAGCAGCACAACATGAACCCCCAGGCTGATGGAAGTTGTGGGATTTAAGGCAAGAATCATTCAGGAGCCTTGGCAGGATTGCAGCCTCTACAAGAGCTCACTTTTGCCAAAAAAAGGTGGAAAAAATGTATACTTGAGCAGCAGTAATGTTCACATCCTGACAGCTGAGCAAGGAAACACCCCAGACCTTTGCCAGCCCCAAATCCGTGACCCCTGAGTTTATTCTGTGTGGTTAAATATGAAATGTTATTTTACACCATGGATGGTTTCCATGGTTTGAGTTTGAGGGCAGTGGAATTCTGTCAGATTAAAAACTTTGGGATTGATCAGTTCAATTACTTGGCTGTGGCAAAATTGAGGTTGTTGCTTTGCAGCCTAATCCGTTCTTGGAGAAACCCCTGGGAGTGTGCAAGTGACATCCCCAAACAAGGCTGGAAACAGCCCTTGGAAAGGGGCTCAGCTTTCACTGAATTTTTAGCAGATTTTGTGATGGAGGGAAATGGGCAAGCCTGTCTTAGATCTGAGCTTTGCTGAATTCCAGGAATTACCACGTGCATGGACACTGATGACCCCCAGCCTTGGTTTTGCCCCTGGATATTGGGAATAATAATTGGGCTGTTCCTGCCAAGGGAGCTGCCTGGAGCAGCAGCAAAGGCTGATCCCTGCTGGGGCAGACAAAGCTGTGCTGCAGTCTGGGCCTGCTTGGCCCTTCCTCTCCCCTCCTTTGAGCCCCAGGAAATTCAGGATTTGTGCTGGGGCTCTGCCCTGCCCTTAGAGCCTCTCCATAGGGAGACACAATGGATGGGATGGGATGGGCAGGACCTGGAGCTTGGGAGATCTGGGGGATTTTTCCAGCTTTTGGTTCTGTGAACAAGGAGATGATGTTTCAATACTTAAATAAGACTTTCCTTTTTTAATTGACTTTGCTTTTGGGGTGTTCATCCTGAAGGTAAAAGTCTTCCATCAGCACCAGTAGCACCTGTTGCTCTTTGGGTGGGCCTGGATGTGGTGATTCCCCTGGGAATCTGCAGGTCCATGGTCACCCTCCAAACAGGGAAACACCCTGGAGAAACCACAGAAACTCCTGTGAATTCTTTGGGGAATGCAGCAAATCCCATTTGCTCCATGCCCTCAGGAACAGAGCTGGCTGTTACTAACTCTTCCAATTTATAGTGAAGAACCTTTCAAAATTCTGCTTTATTGAGATAAAGGAAATGCACACTGGGTTTTTCCACAGTATCTGCTGGAAACCAAAAGCCAGAGCTGGAAATCTGTTTGCAGTAATCTTCAGTCATAAAATCAATCCCATTTACACTCTGTTAACTGGGCATGTGTGCCTGGGATCCGAATTTAAGCTGGGAGCATTTGCCACAAATTAGGAGCAGATTGGATTAATGGGTTTGTCTCCTCTTAATATATTGTGTGGTTTCTTCTACCCTTTAGGGGGAAAACACGATTGGAGTAAATCAGTGCTGATCTTGGGAATACTCAGTGGTGTTTCCTTTGGCTTAGTTGGCCAGGGAGATCATTAATGCTGGAGTTACAAGCTGCTTTTGAATTGAAATATAAATCCAGCTCAGAGCAGTGCTGCAGGATTGAAGGAGTTTTCCTTTTGGATGAGATACTGGAAGTTTCTGCTTGCTTATGGTTAACGTTATAATGATGATAATTCTTGAGAAAAATATGTTGAGAACAGCCTTCTTTCCCAGCTAGCACCTGATCTTTCCAAAAACTTGACTTCCTGAAGGTTTTTTTCCCTGCATGATCCTTGTCCTGTTGGCAGTGACCTCCTTACTACCCCAAGTGCCATTTGGAGCTTGAATGAACAACTTGTAGAGCAATTCCTGTGTTTTCATGTCATTCTAATGATTGTTATTGCTGCATTGAAAGCCCAGGTGGTTGAATCAAGCTGAACCCTCACAAGGCTGAGCTGCTTTGTTGTTCTGTGCCTCAGAGCAGCCCCTGGGAGGGAAGTTCATCACTCCCAGCCTCATGACCCCCATGCCATTCAGGGCTGTAACAGATGCACGTTTCCATTGCAGCCCAAACCGCTGTAACTGCACCAAAGACCTGGAAGAAACCAAAAGAGCGGCCCCAAGGCACTGAGGAGGTGACAGAGGCAGAAACAGAGGTGAGAGGGAGCCAAAGTCCTGCTCTACCCACATTTAAAGATTCTGTTCCTCTCTGGGAATTGTACTTTAGAGACATTGCTTCCTCATTGTCCCACAGGGTCCAGGGCAGTTTTGGGGAGGAACTCTGCTATTCTTTTGGATAACAGGTGTCAGTCTGCTCCCTTTAAAGCTCTTCAGTTTTTGTTGGGTTTGCCTAATTTAATGATTAATACAGTCATGGAATCACAGACTGGTTTGGGTTGGAAGCCCTTAAAGATTCATCTCATTCCAACCCCTGCCATGGCAAGGGACACCTTCCACTAGAAGGTTCCACTAAACTCCCACCAGCCTCCAGCACTGAGGAACCCCTTTCAGTGAAGGGTGAGGGAAAAGTGGCTTTGGATCCCTCAGCACTGCCCCACTTTGGTCCCAGGCCACCATCCTGACATTGGGCACAGGGATATCATGGCCAAGGATAGTTTTCCTGATGACCAACTGATGGAGAAGCTGATAAAGGAAAATGCTGAAGTTTTCAGGCAAAACCACCTCAAGAGTTATTAGAAGAGTAAAGAAAACCTCCCTTGCTGCTGTTCTGGTAGGGATGTTGCAGCAGGAGGCTGTGCTTAATATCCTGGGTCAGTATGGGGTTAGAATCAATCAGAAAAGGAGCAAGAGAGTAAAAATGTGGAAGTTCAGACTGCCCAGTGTGTGGATGAAAGCTGAGGTTGGCCAGATGTGGTGCAGAGCAGGAGAGCAAAGGGGCTGCAGCAGCAGCTTCAGCCTCCACACTTTCCTCATCCTCCCCTGGGGGAGTTGTGTCTCCTGCACCACCCCACAGTTCCACTGGGGAATTCTTCAGAGAATTCCCTTGAAAAATCTGCAAGAGGCGTTTTAGGATGTGGTGCAGTCAGGTAGGGAGGCAGAGGATCAGGAGCCTCCTCCAGAGCATCCTCAGTGAAGTTTCTCCTTTGTTCAGTGCTGAGAGGGGCTGGGATTTCTCCCGGGAGAAGCGATTCCGACGCCTCCTCGTCTGAATGCACAATCGGGCTGTGTCCTTGGAGAGCTCTAAAATTAACAGCCAGGGATACTATTAATGCTTTTTCCTGAAACTGAGATGCTGGCATTGTGGCTGGATCTCACACTGCCTTCCTTAGTGGCATCTGCTCCAGTTGGCAGCAGGCATTTTAAGGAAGAATCCCCCCAAAAAAGCCCCACGTGCCCTTTACCACCCCTTTCTCATGGCTGGTGGGAGAAGAGGAAAGCAGAGTTGTATTTCCAGGCTGGGATTGCTCATGGCTTAACAGTTCCCTCTGTCCAATCCCGTGGGGATTTCATGGGCAATGCTGAGTCTCTCCAGCTGCACCATTAATTATCAGTGGGTTATCCATGGGAATGAGCTGATAAATCACCCAGTGGCTCAGTGTGCTGTTCAGTAGCCCTGTGTAAGATGCATTTGTATTCCTGCTGCTCCCAAAAATGCCCTGTGAATCCATGAAGAGCCGTTCCACGTGCACTGAATTTGTCAGGGAGTTTCTAACAAAACCTCTGCTCTATCCATGCTCCAGCCGAAGGAGGAGGAGGAACCTTCAGGGGACAAAGTACTTGAATCCGAGCAGGAGAAAACGAGCCATGGGCTTGAGGCAGAGAGGGAACCCTCGGAGCTGAAAGCAGTGAAAGCTGTGGAGGAGAACGGGGAGCAGGAGGCAGAGCCGGTGCGGAACGGAGCCGAGAGCGTCTCGGAGGGCGAGGGCGCCGACGGCACCTCCGGCTGCACCGAGAGCTCCGCCGAGGGGACCCTGTACCAGTACAAACCAGGTAGGTGCTGCTGCTCTGCCTGCCCCTGCCAGGGCTGCTGCCACCCCGAGTGCCAGCCCTGTGGCTTTGGTGTGCTCTGTGTCAGCTCTGATGAGATCTGCAACCCAGCAGGCCCCCAGAGATCTTCCAGGGGGAAAAAGGGTGTCCTGGTTTAGGGCGAATTTGGGAGAAAGCCTCCAAAGGGGGCACCTCCAGAAAGCAAACCCACATGGCCCCTCCACCCAACCAGTTCCTCAGAGAGAAGTGGAAAGAACCTGTTTATTTAACAGGCACAGCACCCCCCAGCAGACAAAATGAACAATACCAGGTGACAACACTCTGTCACCGCTCTGAAAAAGATGACAAATTCAAAAAGTCTCTCTTGGGGGTGGTCGCTCTGTTATCAGTCCCTCCAGCACTGGGGATGGCTGCTGCACAAGGTGCAAACTCTCGGTGTTCCCAGGTCCCAGTCCAGAGCAGGTTTGAGTAGGTCCCAAAAAAAGGAAAGGAGAAACAGTCCAGGGAAAAATCAGACTGTTTAGCTAAACTAACTAACGAGCAGAAGCAAAAAGAGTAAAGCAAAAATCCAAGCAAAAAGCAAAAGCAGCACCATGTACTGCCCCATCTGTGTGTCCCACCAGCTGTGGGGCAGCAGCTGATAGCAAAACCAAACCAAACCATTCACTCTTCAGAGCCAGTCTTGAAGGCACAGAACATATCCAGCATCAACAGAACACACAAATGGGGATACAAGCATCACATCATCACCCTAGGACAAGGGCAAAATGGTTTTTGTCTCGCTGAGAAGAGAAAATCACGAATTCCTTGACATTTTTGTGCATTTGGATGCTGGCTACAGCACTGTGGAAATGACAGAGAGTTGATTCCTGTGTGATTGACAACTGGACACCATCCAAGAAATTTCACATAAACCAGTATACTTCTGAAATAAGAGGTGGTTAAATAAGAAATGAAAGTGCTCATTGGGTCCTAAGTACAAATGTGTGTGTTCATAAAGATTTAATTTCCTGGCTAAACAATTGCATGGATCTTTGGATTTCTACAAAAGTAAGGAAAAGAAAAAGTTTGTGGTTTTTGATCCAGGCACTGTCCAGCTCAGTCCCATTGATTAGGGTATAGGATATCTGTAGAGCATTTTTGTTATTTATGAAGATTTTGTAATTTATAGAAGTCAACCTCAATTAATCCACCTCATTTAGAGAGAACTTGAGACCAACTTCTCAGCTGCTCCCAATTTTTAAGCAATTTCTTATTCAAGTGAAACTCCCTCCAAATAAAGTAGTCATTTTTTAGAAGCCCAGAAATTAAAATAATAATAATAATAATAATAATAATAATAATAATAATAATAATAATAATAATAATAATAATAATAGTAATGGACCTGGAAAACCTGGTGGACAAGGAGCACCACCATTAAGGGACTCCACTGCTGTGGTTATTTGTGCACCACTTTGTTCTGACAAAGACCTCAATTGCTTTGGTGTTATTAATTCAGCACAGTCATATTGTGAGGGGAAAACACAGAGGCCTCTTGATAGCTCATCACACTCAGGGTACCTGAGCAGTTCATTGGCCACTCCTGAAGTTAATCCATAATTCATCAGCTGGTGCAGTCAGAACAATCCCAGTTGTGTCCAGCTGTCCTTTCACTCAGCTGGAAGGGTTGGATGAATCCCTGGAAAAGCAACACACATCAGACTTGTGCAACAGTCCTCAATTTCAGCTCTGCTCTTCTGAGAAAGGGGAATTTCTGCCTTTGGAGGAATTGTGTGTTTGATCCCTGTCTCTTCCTGCATGGGGGATCCTTCCTGTGATGCTGCCCAGCTGCTCTTCACAGTAAAACAGCTCATTGAGAGCTTTCCAGGAGAAGGAAAGTACACCTAAACTGCTTGTTGTTGTGTTGCTGCTGCTCCATGGTAAATGACAGGTACAGTGGGCAGGGCAGGAATTCAAGCCAGGATCCAGCCAAACCATTTCTGCACCCCTGGATCCTGAAGCTCTGTAACTGCATGAAGAGCTAAAGTTTGCAATCACTTCTGTGTGTTTTCATTCCCAGTTATTAAAACCCATCGTTGCAGTAAGTCCCTGCTCGTGGCCTCAGCAGGGGTGAAGATGGTGAGATCTCAGAGATCCAAAGCCAGAGCTCAGGGAGTGAAATAAAGGAATAATAAATACCTGAAGGGCTGATGCATGCTGAATAATGAATGCAGCCTGGCATGAGGGAGATCCAAAGGCAGCATCTCATACAGATGTTTTCCTTCAGATAAAACATGTTTTCTTCCCTAATTTCAAACAAACTGTGGCCAGTGCTGAAAATCCCGTCTCCAGACCACCAGAGGCTGACTTTCCTTGTGCTGAAGTGGCTGGAGGTTTATGCTGTGATTTGCACCAGGCAGGGTCCTCCACACCCAAAAAGCCCCATGTAAAACAGGTGGAAAGTTGTAATTCCCAGATCATGGGAATTACATGGCCTGTGGTTGTGGCTTCTCTTGTTTCTGCTTGTTATCTCCAGCCTGGGTTGTTCACAGTTCCATGGCTTCACATTTTCAGAGGGTGTTTTTGTTCCATGCTCTGCTCTCCTTGACTTCATGTTTATGACTTCCTTTTACACTTTTAACTTCTGCATTTTCACACAGAAACAGGGAATTGTCCCAATTCTGCCATATCCCACAGGAGAGCAGAAGTCAAAGTTACATGCATGGGTTAGAACTGGAGTTAGTGCCCAGATCTGTGGTTGGACCTTGCTCTGCATCCCTGTTGTTCACATCCCTGTGTTGCTCTCCTCTCTCCCTTCAAAATGAAAATCAAATTAAATTGAAACATCCCAGGCTGGTGCAGCATCCTCATCCCTTTGGGTTTACCAGGACCACATCTGGGTGAGCAGGGGGTTTGTTTGCTGTGACTCTCAGGGATTTCTCTCCCTATAGAGCAGTGGAAGCCCCTGGACCCCGAGGGGAAGAAGCAATACGACCGGGAGTTCCTGCTGGACATCCAGTTCATGCCTGCCTGCATCCAGAAGCCCGAGGGGCTGCCTCCCATCAGCGACGTGGTGCTCGACAAGGTGAGAGGAGAGCCCATAAAACAGGTATGTGCAGGGTTTTGATACAAATAAAGATCCATAGTGGCTCATTCCTGATCCATTTCTGTGCCAGGTTTTAGTGGGAAGTGGGAATAGTTGGTCTCATCACAAAATTCTACAAATAGAGGTGTTGGTGCCTGATGAATGTGCACAGATGATTAAAAACTGAAGTGTTTTTGATAGTCTTTATGTAGATTAAGTTGTACCAGGATGTTATTAAAATTTAAAATTACCCAGCCATGAAGAGCTGAGGATCCAAGCAAGGCTGGATGGAGAGGCAGTGGCTTCTGTTAGATCAATTAATTGATCTATTAGATCAATTAAAAAGCAGAGAGAAGCTTTTGGGCAAACTGTTTTTGATCTGAAGCAGTTTCTTCACTATTTATAAGCTGATCTAATAAAAGATCTTTAAGAACTCCGTTCTGGGGCAGTTTTGGGATTTCTCTCCAGCCTCATCTCAGAGCTGGAGGTCTGGGCTGAGTGAAACATTTGGGATTTCTGAGTGCTGACACCGAGGCCTCATTCTGCTCTCACAGAGAGCTGGAGAGTTCCTTGGCTTTGATGGAGCCACGACAGCCTCACTCTTGAGACTCAGGGATGTGGGTGTGCAGAAACATTTCTGCTCTGGGTTTCATACCCAGACAAATTGTAAAATGCAGCTTTACTGCCAAAATTATTTCATCTACCTTCTACTCCCTCATGATTGTTTCTCACTGTTCTGCGTTTAAGCTTCCTGGGCTCAGTTGCCCATCTCTCATGTTGGCACAAAAGCCATTGCTTTGAGGGAAGGTGGCAGTTTCATGCTCCTGAACAAGGACAGGCCCGTGTTACTATGATTTTATCCTCCATAATCCTTTAAATATTTCTGAGCTCCACCTGTTTCCTCAATAGTCTCCTATTTAAAACAGATATGTTTTAAATTAATATGTTTTATGAATGAATGATGTTTTAAATTAAATACTTATTTTTAGCACACGAGTGTGGCTGCCTAAAACTTGAGCAGTTTGTTAATTTGGCTGTTAGGAATGACTGCCATGCTTTAGCAGACGCTGTGTGTGGATTGCATGGGCTGAGCATTCCTGTGTGTGCTCTGCTCGTGGCACAGGTCAGTCAGCCCAAGCTGCCGCTGAGGACTCTGGACCCCCGGATCCTGCCACGAGGCCCCGACTTCACGCCAGCCTTTGCTGATTTTGGGAGGCAAGCCCCCGGGGGAAGAAACGTGTCTGGAAGTGTGAGTTTACCCCAACTTGCTCATTTCAAAGCTGGCCCTAACACTGATGAAGTCCCTCCTCAGTGGGACTCATGTTTGCTTTTGGCCTCTTGCAATGCGCCGGTGGTTCTGGTTTTGTCGGGATGAATGCAGGGGTGATGTTTGCTTGGCGGACAAAATGTGGGGGAATTGGGAAGGGTTGTGGATGTTTGTCACGGGGAGCTGTTGTTTGGGAAGGGTTTGTCTCCTTCCTGTTTCCCTGTGGGAGAGGTGGAAGCGTTTCCACACCAGGACCCGGCAGTTGCGTGCGCGGTCGTGCGTTCGTCGTACAACAGACCCGGCGTCAGTGCGTCACCCCGGGGGCTGTGCTGCAAAGCACACCCACAGGGCAAAGGGATTTTACTAACAAACGAAATCCAGTCAGCACCTGTGTGTTCCTGCTTTCTCTGTGCTTCCACGTGTTGCTTTGGTCACTTCATTCCTTGTTTTTCCACTTTTCTGTCATTTTCCCTTCTTCTCCCTGTGTCTGGCTTTGCCCACCCTCTGAAATCCCCCTGTGAGTTCACTCGTGCCTCTGCCGTGTCTTTTACCGGGGCACAGGTGCCCCCAGTCAATGCTACTGGAGGAGGACACTGCCACCATTAGGGACAATCACTGATTTTCAGCTGTTGAGCTGCTTCTGCTGTGTCCATCTGGATGTGTCTAACGACACAACCATCGTGGAGCTTTCAAATCTGCTGGTTCCGGAAGAGTTCCCCGAATCACCCCAACTTCCAAGTGTGCAGATTTCCAGGAGTCAAACCCAGCGATTTTGGGTCAATGTCATAGCTCTGGTTTGGGAGCAGCCTCGTGGCCGGTGCCTCAGTTCGGGGGTGCACCCCTGTGTCCTGGAGTTGCCTGGGTGCCACAGTTTCTCTTGGAGCACCACCTGGTCTGCAGAACCCGGCGAGGTCGCGGTGTTTGCCGCCTTTGGGCCGCACTGTGGTGCCTCCCTCCTGTCCCGTCAGCGCTGAGTGTCCCGAGCCCTGCGGCGCCCGCGTAACGCCGCTGTCGCTCTTTGTCTCTCCGCAGGCCTGCAAAGTGCAGAGCACCCCTGGATTGCCCTCCCTGGCTCGGTGCGGGCCCCCATCATGCCCTCTCTTGGTCTCGCCTCACCCACCACTGAGGAACCTGCCGATAGGGGTAAGCCAAATCCCCCCCTCTCCCCCCAGCCTTTGCACCTTTTTGTAGAGTTGCCTTTTTTCCCCAACACCCACCGTTGATAAAGAACGACTGGCAGAAAACTTTACAAAAAGGTGCAACCTTGTTTAAAAAAAAACCGAAACAAGACTTGCGTTGTACCCCTCTAGGCAGTCTTCAGTGGTGGGTGGGACATCACCAGCTGAGGGCATGCTGGGACGTTGGCCCGAGCGGGATCCGCGAGGGTCTGCACTTTGCAGACCTGTGGAAAGGGGGAGAAAAGGTAAGTCCCGCTTACCCCGTTCATTTGGAGCATTCAGCACGTAACATACATCTTACATTTGCGCCTTTGCAGAGCAGAGCCTCTCCTTGCCTTGTTCTGGAGGAGGGCTGGAAGGTGCCGTGGTTTAACCAGCCTGTCCTCGACGCCGGCGGTTGTAGGATCAGAGGGTTCTGAGCCCAGCAATGGCAGACGTTCCCTCTCATGAGCATGGCCACCCCTGCGTGTGCTGCCTGTCCCCAGCCATCCCACCTCTGCACAGGCCATGCCATCAACCATCCATCCACTGCCTCTTCCTTGCCCCAGTAACGTGGAGCAGCTCAGCGCTAACCGCTTCCGGCACGTTGAGCGTCTTTTGTTTCGCTTCTTTGGCTTTTGTCTTTGTTTCCCTCTTTTTGCTTGAGCGTGTTTTTTATGACTGTCTCTGCCACTAACCAGTGTTGTGTCAGACAGCGGGGTGGAGGTGCACAGGACAGGGTGCAGCTGGGAAGGCTCTGTGGTGTAGGCAGGGTTAGGTGAGCGTGGCAGGTGAGGAGATGCAAACCCAGAGATGTGGGGCTGGAGCAGATGGGTCTGTCCGTGCACAGACTGCGTTGGCTTTGTCCTTCCTGAGAGGTGATGGAAACTGAAATCACCTCAGTTCTTGTTCCTGGGAGGAACAACCCCTCCCACCATGGAAGATCAATTTCACTGTCTGCGTTCAAAGCCTCTTATAGAGGGACAAGCACTTCCTTAATTCCTTGGATGGTTTCTAAAGTATTTCCATGCCTTGCAGCCTGGGTGGGAGCACCAGGCCAGTCTGTGCTGCTGTGAGCCTTTGGCTCCTCTGCAGGAGTCTTGGACCTTTGTCTTCCTGCTTTCCTTCCCCGTGTCTTCCTCTGGAGGAGAGGTCATTCAGATTAATGCAGGAGCACCTGGTACTTGTCCCATGCTCCAGAACCATCATTATTTACAGGAAGCCAGGCCTGAGCTCAGGCACCTCTTGAAGTTGCTGTATAAATCTGGAGCCAAGAACCCCAGACCCCTAGACCATTTCTCTTAAAAGTTAGATCCTTCTATTTTGTTATTACATCTTCAAAGGATGCTTCTATTCACTGATTGAAAACCTAATCACACAGTTTGAACTGAGTTTATTCACAGATATTAAAAACATACCATATCAAAGAAAGTCGCCGTTGTGTTGATGCTTGAAAGGGCTCAAAGGCAGGTGACAGGTGACACACTGGGGCTCCATGCATCCCTCAGTTTTCCAGGGGAGTCACCTCCCTCAGGGGTGGGTGGGTGTTTGCTGCACAGGAACATTTGCACGGACCCGTGCCCGAGGAAGCGCCGCCTCTGCGACTCCGTGCCCGTGTGTCACAGCCTGGAGTGTCTGGGGGGTCCTTCACACCAGAGCTGCCTCTGCAGGACATGGGGTGGCTGCAGGTCACCTCTCCTTGGCTTTGCCCCTGTTCTGGGGGGGATGAGCTCAAAGGTTTGGGGTTTCAGGGCACGCTGCAGCCTGGCTCTGATTCCAGAGCTGTCTGTGGGCAGGAGGTGTGTGCTGAGCTCTGGCACACGTGGCTGTCCCCAGTCAGTTTCTGTGGCACCATTGTCTGCTCCTTAGCTGGAGGGAAGTCTCTTCTCTGCACGTGGGCAGCATGGTCAGAGCCTGGGCAGCAGAGCTGTGTAACACCAGAGGTGCTGGGTGAAGGCAGGGCTGCTGCCAGGCCTTGCTGAGCCGCACTGGTGTCACTCAGGGCTCAGGGTGGGACACAGGAGGGATCAGTGTCTGCTTTAGGAAGGTGTCTGACACACAGAAACTCCTGAAGAGGCTCCCTGTTCCACTGTTGACTTGATAGTGGAGCCCTGGAAAAAGTTAAAGATAGAATCTAAAATGTTAGGCTTTGTGCTTTCCCAGATCAACTGCACCTGCATAAGCAGTATGATAAATTATATAACTGTTAGATGTGATGATTGTTTAGTAATTAAATGTAATTATTATATAACCATAAGAAGAATAATGAGAAACTATGTTGGAAATTCAGAGAGGGGCTAAATTTATGTATACAATAGAACAATATAAGTTTAATAATTAACATGTAAGTTGTATAACGATAGAGTATAAAAACATGATCATTTTGGATGTATGGTCGGAGTCAGATTTGGGTAATACCCCGATTCCCAGAGCTCTTTAATAAAAAGCACCGCATATAATCCCTGTGATTATGTGGTTTTGAACGCTAACAGACTCCTCAGGAGTGATCAGTGAGGAGTCAACAATGATCAGCTGGTGTGGTTGTGCTACAAGTGGTTGGACTTGATGATCTTGGAGCTCTTTTCCAAGATAAATGATTCTGTGATTACAGCATTCATGGGCCTTGTGCCCCGTGCAGTTGGAATAATCTGCTGGGCTATTTCTGTGCGTGGCAGGGGATGTGAACAGGGGTCTTTGTAAGCTGGGGGGAGCCCAGTGACACCCTGGCCCTTGGAGCCCTCTCCCAGGCACCATGGGAGCAGTCACTCCTCAGGGTGAGGGTGTTGTCTTCTGACAACATCTTCCTCTGCTGCTGTTATCCCAAACCAGAGCTCCAGCCCTGCTGGTGATCCTGCTCATTTGCACACATTTGCTTTGTCAAAGGCAAATGGTTCAACTCCCTCCTGCCTTTGAGAGGAATTTTGCCTTTCAATAACCACAAATCCAGGTTTGTGGCTGATGTATGACATAAGAGGCACCAGCCAAGAGCCCTTTCCTCCTATTCACTGAGGCTCTTCAAGTAACTGCAGTGGCCTTTTTGATGCTTGTTGAATCCCTTTGTTGAACAAAGCAGTCTTTGAAATGGCCCATCTTCCATGAGTGGCTGCTGAGCAGATTAATTACTGCTGTGGAAGTACCAGGTTTGATAATGGAGTTTTGCTGCTTTAATTTGTACTTGAGCTTGGCCATTTGTGATAAATGAGTTCAGACCAGTGAAGGAGCATGGGGGAAGAGCAGCCTCCCAATAGCACCTGGTACCTTTAGTCCTTAATCAGATGATGGAGAGGAGGTTTGGGGGTGTCTTGTGCCCCACCACTTGTACATGTGGTGAAAAACTCCCCAGCTGTGGCAGGCTTTGTGCCTGTTCAGGAGCATCACAGTACACAGGATTGCAGAGATGCTCAGGCAGTTCCAAAGCACCCTGATTCCTTTTCTTCTGTGAAACCACCCAGAGACAAACCCAGAGTTTTTCCCATATCTGTTAGGATCCATATTTTTCATGTCCAGGAGCTGCAGTGATACTCCTTCACTGTGTTTTATGTAATTCCCATCTCCAAATGGCTTTGTTGGAAGCAGTCCCCAGTAAAACAACATTTCTGGCAGAGCTGCCCCAGTTTCTCATTGTCTAAGTGCTTGGGATGGCATGTTTGAAAAACACCTGTAAGGGCTGAATTCTTGCACACCTTGCTGTGATGCCTCAGTTATGCAGTTTCTGATCCCAAGAGGCATTTTTGGCCAGTTGGGGTCAGTTCTGCCCCCTGTAGCAGAACCCAGAGCGCAGCTGGGTTATGTAGGTTGTGTAGGCAGAGTCAAAGCCCATCTCTCTGCTGGGAAGAGCTGCCCAGAGGAATGTGCTGGGTGTCTCCATGTTCCCTGTGAGCAGCCTGGAGCAGTGCTGGGTCACAGGGACTCCTGGTGTCCCAGCAGGACGTGCTGGTGGTCAGCAGTGCCATCAGTGGGTGTTGGTGCTTGCCCTGGATGTGTTACCCAGCCCAAAGTGGGATATAACAAGGAATGTTTTTGTCCTAGTTGTTGAATGTTGGACCGAGGAGATCTCAGCCTGGCCAGAGGAGGGAGCCCAGGAAGATCATCACTGTGTGTGTGAAGGAGGATGTGCACCTGAAGAAGGCAGAGAACGCCTGGAAGCCAAGCCTGAAGAGGGAAAACCAAACTGAGGACCCAGAAAATGTCAAAACCCAGGTGAGAGCATCAGCAGGTCTGAGGTGCAGCAGCTGCCCCAGGTAATGGAAATTTGGCTTCCCTCTTGTGTCAGACAGTGAAAAAGGGCAATGCATTGGAATCCCAGTTTTCCCCTCCCTTGATGGTAATTTTTGTATGTTTATTCTTGTTTAAATGCCAGTCCTGTATATTAAGCAGAGAACACCACACAAGCTCCTTTGTCTCTTGCAGGATTGCTTTCCTACTGCTGTTTTACTGGAATATTTCTGTCTCTGTTCTAAAGCAAAGAGCATTACATTCCCAGCACAGAACTTGGTTTTCATCTCCTTTTAGACCACATTTCTTCCCTGAATCCTCAGCAAGACTGAGGTTCCTCTGTGAAATCCCTCAGTTGGTCCTGCCCAGCCCAATGGTGCTGTCTGAAGCTGCCTCTGTCCTTCTCCCCCTCCTCTCCACCACGGGGCACTTGCTCTGGGAGGAGGTGTTTGTCTGGTGGCCAAGCTTGTAATTTGTAGGACAAGTTAGAATGGTCTTGAAGGACACTGGAATTCTGTTCTTGGAGCTAATGGTGGCATTGTTGGCCTCATTATCATCCTGGATAGGGAAAAATAAAGTACCCTAAAGTGAATTATAGCAGAGGTTGATTACCTCTGCTGAAGGAGGCAGAGGCCACTCCCTGTTAATTTATATGTCATGGATTAAACTGATATAAAGAAGAGTATTTCTGAGAGGAAGGGATTTGTTGCACTTGACAAAAGCCCTTGGGTGTTCCCAGAACTCCTACCCTGTAGTCTTGATCTTTGGTAGCCAAGTGAGGACTGGGGTTGGGCTGTGCAGAAACCTGTGGTGTGTCACTCAGCTTCCCAGACATTCCTCCAGGGTGTCTCCATTCCCCTGTGGGAAGCATCCAGGCTCATTCCTGAACTCCACCTGCACCAGCTGTGCTGAGCCTGCGGCGTTTGTGTCCCTCAGGAGCTGTTCCGCAAGGTACGAAGCATCTTGAACAAGCTGACGCCCCAGATGTTCAACCAGCTGATGAAGCAGGTGACAGACCTGACGGTGGACACGGAGGAGAGGCTGAAGGGAGTCATTGACCTGGTCTTTGAGAAGGCCATCGACGAGCCCAGCTTCTCGGTGGCCTACGCCAACATGTGCCGCTGCCTGGTGACGGTAAGAGGGGACAGCAGCTGCCCTGGGCTCAGGGGCAGCCACAGAAACTGCAGACAGCAGAGTGGTAGCTCCTGAGTGTGAGTGGGAATTATTAATGTGGAGTTTTTTTGTTGGCCATGCCCAAGGGAGAGGGATTTGGCGCAGTTGTTGGGAGTTGAGGACTCCTTGCTCCACCTGGTCACGAGTCTGGGAAGTTCATGGAGTCACAGAAGCATGGAATAGCATAGGCAGGAAAGGGAGCTTAAAGCTCTTCTCATTCCACCCCCTGCCATGGGCAGGGACAACTTCCACCACCCCAGGTTGCTCCAAGCCTCATCCAGCCTGGCCTTGGACACTTCTGGGGTGGGCAACCACGGCTGCTCTGGGCACCCTGTGCCAGGCCTGCCCACCCTTCTGTGTCTGTCAGCTCCAAGGGAGCCCAGGATGAGCCAGGCTTTGCACAGATCATTCTCAGATGGTGAATTTGGGACAAAAGAGCCCCTTTTTCCCTCCTTCCCTAGTGAAGGAATATGGCTTAAGCCCTCAGCACAGAACAGGAGTGTTTTTAAGCAGAGGGTGTTTTAAAGGGATCATATGGATGGAAATGTAATTCATCCCCAGGCAGAGGTGGTGTCAGCCAAGTTTGGAGTGTGGCTTTACATCTGCAATGTAAAACTCCACTGGAAATCCTGATGTGAGGCTTTGCTTTCACAGCCTTGCAGAGCTGTGCAGCTCAACATGAAGAGCAAAATAAATTGTTATGGATGACCCCTCCTCTGTGGAGTTTATCCCTATTTCTGCTGATGTTTTTCTTCCTTCTCACTCCAGCTGAAGGTGCCCATGGCAGACAAACCTGGGAGCACAGTAAATTTCCGTAAGTTGCTGTTAAATCGCTGCCAGAAGGAATTTGAAAAGGACAAGGCTGACGATGATGTCTTTGAAAAGAAGCAGAAAGAACTCGAAGCTGCTACTACTGTAAGTGGTGTTTTTCTCCATAAGTTCTCAGAGCTCCCTCAGAAAATTATTTCCTTTTGAAACAGCAGTTGGTTTGGGGAATTTTGGAGTTGAGACTTTCATTAAAAATACTTGCCTTGACAGTGGGTTTATGTCACAGACATTTTTATGAAAAATCCTTTCCTTAGGATTTTTCCTCCTGAGAAGCTGAGAGACCTCAGGAACAAAATGTAAACATTGATTACCTGCTCTGTTGAATGCAACAGGTGCATCTGTGATTGGCCCGTGTTGGTTGTTTCTAATTAATGGCCAATCACAGTCAGCTGGCTCAGACTCTCTGTCGGAGTCACAAGCCTTTGTTATGATTCCTTCTTTTTCTATTCTTAGCTAGCCTTGTGATGAAATCCTTTCTTCTATTCTTTTAGTATAGTTTTAATGTAGTATATATTATAAAATAATAAATCAGCCTTCTGAAACATGGAGTCAGATCCTCATCTCTTCCCTCATCCTCAGAGCCCTGTGAACACTGTCACAGGTTTATCCCTGCATCTTTCTGGGCTTTAGGAGTAAAAGAGGGAACAGTGTCTATGAAAGCAGAAGGGAGGGGAGGGAGGAGGTGACCACTTGTGCTTAACTGTAAAGTTCTTCAACAAAAATTCATGAAGGTTTTAGCCCAATGGAACTTGAGACAGAAGGCTGAAGCCCTCCCTCATCCCTGTACAAGGAAACAAGGAGATAATTGTCATTTAGCTTCCTCCATATGAGAATTATGCCCAGAAGCTGCTGAACATCCCCACCACCAAATCTGTGGCTACTCCCAAGCTCGAGTCCAACATAAATCCATATATAATCTACCTTTGTAATAAAAGTGACCAAGGGATGAGAGTTTTTAAAATATCCCATAATACCAAATACATGTGACTGCCACACAGTCAGCTTCCTCTTTTTTGTGTTAATTTCATATGAAGGTCCTCTTCATAAAACCGGATCTTTCAGAGAGTTCTGTGCACTGGGAATGTGGTTTTGCAGAGCTGTTTTCCTGTTTTGCAGCCAGAGGAGAAGACACGGCTCCACGACGAGCTGGAGGAGGCCAAGGACAAAGCCCGGCGGAGATCCATCGGGAACATCAAATTCATCGGCGAGCTCTTCAAGCTGAAGATGCTGACTGAGGCCATCATGCACGACTGCGTGGTGAAGCTGCTGAAGAACCACGACGAGGAGTCCCTCGAGTGCCTTTGCCGCCTGCTCACGACCATTGGCAAGGACCTGGACTTTGAGAAGGCAAAGGTGGGGCAGGAATGGGAGTGAGGGATGAGGTTCTCTGGGAGAGTAGAGCTGGAAAAAAAATGGGTGTGGAGTGTTTTTGTTTGAAGATTTGTTTTTTCTTCAGGAATTTCCATATGGCATGAGGAAATCGTCCACTCCTCTGTGGATGTTTCGTCATGACCTGGCCTCGCTCCCTGCTCTGTCATAGATTCTGTAGCATTTTCAGCTGTGTTCTCCAGTTGTTATTTCCAAAGATTTTATCCAAACCTACAGCCCAGAAATGCTCAACGTTTCCTTTTTCCAAGCTGAATGTCCCTCTTTCTTTGTAGCTCCCAAAACATTATTATTTCCAGTTGGAGGTTTATGTTAGCTACAAAAGCCACCATGAAATGTGTTGTGCAGGTTAAATCTGCAGCACCCTCATTAACCAGTCCAAACCCCACCTGAGCCTCGGGGGTGCCTGTGTTTTGTGTCATCCTTGTCCCCAGATGTGCTGGGATGTGGCAGCTGTTCTGCATCGTCCTCCCCCTTTTCCAGCAAATATATCTGCAGCACAGAGCACTCCAAGAGCTTCTCTTGGCACAGACACTCTGCTGCTCCTTCTCAAAAACCAGCCTTGGGATGAACAACTCGAGGCTTTTGCCAGGAATCAGTGGGACTGGGCTCTGGAAACAAACAGAGCTAATTGTGTTCAGCTGCCCTGGGCAGGGAGTTCCGTCTGCACTCAGCATCTCAGGCATTGCAGCAGATCAGTCCTGAGCCTCAGGGGAAGGAATTTCCCAGGCTGTTCTGTGAGCAGTGACCAAACCAGCAGGGTTTATCAGCAGTCCCTGTGCTGTGAGTGAGATTCAGTTTCTCTGTGTGCTCTGGGAGGAAAACCAGATCTGACTTCCAGGCTGGATGAGGCCTGGATGCTGTTTTGGATTTTTGGAGCACTCTAAAAGCAACATTTTGGTGCTCTGCTGGTTCTGCCCCCTTGAGGTGGGGCATGGCAGGGCAAGAGAGCAATTCCAGAGGCCTCTGTCCTGCCTTTGGGATTGGTTGTTTCTGTCAGTACTGACAGAATCCTTCTTAATGGGGTAGACATTTTATTAAGTGTTTTTATTGAAGCTGAACTGTTACTCATAGTTAATTAAAACTTCTAAGCAAAGTCCATTGGAAATATTTCCCCATCATGCCTAACTTTGGAAATAACAACTGGAAGTTTCCAAGGCAAGGCCAGACACAAATTTTAATGGATTTTTTTCTTGTTTCTTTAACTACAAGGACAAGGGTTTAGCTGGTTTTTAGTGAAGAGAGTGGGAAACATGGTAGAAAACTACTTTGAAACTTTGTTTGAAACAACCAGAGGCCCTAATTTGAGAAAAGGGCTTGGTGAGCCACATTTAGACCTAAGAGGAGCTTCTCTGCTGATCCCAATTCATGTCCTAGTGTGAACCTATTGGGATTCCACCACATCACAATTTTCTGGATGAGGAGTTTGTGGGGTTTTTCCCCCAGCCAAGCCCATTAAACTGTTCTTGCAGAGAGACCCAGAGTTGCTGCTCAGTCTGGCCTGGCTCAGCTCAGGGAGTAAACCATGGAATGATGCGTCTTAGGCTGGTTTTGTACCCATTTTGTTTCCTGAGCCAGTTTTTCTTGGGCTGAGGTGTGCACACAGCTGATTTGGATCTTCCAAATTTGAGATATTTGATTGATATATCAATCTGGAAACTCAGATTGAGATATATTTTTAATGGATGTAATGTTTATTATGTACGTGCAGAGGGTGTAGATGGTTTGTGCAATTAAAAACCCAGAGAAAATGTAATTAAAAACCCAGAGAAGTGTGTGCCTGTAGAATTGTGCCTCATCTCCTGCAGGTGCTGCCCTGTGCACCCTCAAATCCACCCTGGAGGAGTGTACAGGACCCAGCACTCACCTCTCTGGGGAGCAGCCCTGATGTTTCCAGCACAGAAATCCCAGAGTGCAGAACCTGCTGGATGCCCCTCCAGGGAATGTTTTCATTTTCCTCCACAACTGATGGTGCTGATGATGTTTTTTCTTGTCTAGCCCCGCATGGACCAGTATTTTAATCAGATGGAGAAGATTGTGAAAGAGAGGAAAACCTCCTCAAGGATTCGGTTCATGCTTCAGGATGTAATAGACCTAAGGCTGGTAGGTCCCAGCTCCAGTGAGTAGAAGTGTGAAATCATGGGTGGCTGGTCTGGCTTGGAAGGAACCTCAGGGATCATCTCATTCCACCACTGCCATGGCAGGGACACTTCCACTGTCCCAGGCTGCTCCCAGCCCTGTCCAGCCTGGCCTTGGGCACTGCCAGGGATCCAGAGGCAGCCACAGCTGCTCTGGGCATCCTTACAGGGAACAATTCCTAATTCCCAAATCCCATCTGACCCTGCTCTCTGGCAGTGGGAAGCCATTCCCTGTGTCCCCAGCCCCTCTCCAGCTCTCCTGGAGCCCCTTTAGGCCCTGGAAGGGCTCTGAGCTCTCCCTGGGGCCCTCTGTCCTGCAGCTCCCATGCCAGTCTCTCATGTTCCCTTCCACATCCAGGCTGGATAAGCTCTCATGCAAGAGCAGGGATTCACAGCTCCAGTGGGGTGTTAGGGGGGATCTGTTCCCCTTTTCCCCCAGGCCTGGCTGTCCAAGGCCAGGAGATGTCTCCATGTTGTCCTGGTGCCGTGGTCAGCACACCTGGGGTGCAGGGGGTCCCCACACTGTGCAGGTGAAGATGTGACCATGGGTGGAACAAACCTTCCCAGCAGCTGTAATTCCCCTCCAGGGGAGCTGGCTTGGGTTGTGTGGAGGCTGAAATCACCATTTTGGCTTCAGGTAGATAATTAATCCAAGAGCTGTAATGAGGCTGCAGCAAGATTAGGGACAGTGTGGTCATTCCAGGGCTGGAGGGGTCTGAGCACTGCATGGCTGAAAAGACACATAAGGAGGGAAAGTGGTTTTGGAGTGACAGCTGCTCCTCTCTGCAGGATCCCTGTGTCAGCCATCACCATTCCTGGAGTGCAGAGCACTGTCTCCATTTAAAATCAGTCACTTCTTTTTTTTTATTTTCATTTCTTCCCTCCAGCTTGGAGGAGAGGCTCCCACAAAGAGTATCAGTGATAAACAGAGAGTGACAGCAGCTCTTCTCTTTCCTCTGAGCCTTGAAAGAGAAGCTGGGAATGTGCAGGCTGGGGATTAATGAATTCAGTCAAGTCTTGGCTGCAGTCCCTGTACCTGAGTGCAAGGCTCTGCTCTGGGGTGCTGGGATAACCAAGTCCCTAATGTGTCCATAATGTGTCCATACCCATGTCCTTAATGTGTCCATAACCACATCCATAACCAAGTCCATCATGTGTCCATCATGTGTCCATCATGTGTCCATAATGTGTCCATACCCATGTGCATAACCCTGTCCATAACCAAGTCCATAACCATGTCCATCATGTGTCCATAACCATGTCCATAATGTGTCCATAACCATGTCCAGAACCATGTCCATAACTATGTCCATAACCATGTCCATCATGTGTCCATAACCATGTCCATAACCATAACCATGTCCATAATGTGTCCATAACCCAATTCCATAACCCAATTCCATAACCCAATTCCATAACCATGTCCATAACCATGTCCATCATGTGTCCATAACCACATCCATAACTACATCCATAACCATGTCCATAACATGCCCATAACCATGTCCATCATGTGTCCATAACTATGTCCATAACCATGTCCATAATGTGTCCATAACCATGTCCTGTGTCCATAACCCAATTCCATAACCATGTCCACAATGTGTCCATCATGTGTCCATACCCATGTCCATAACCAATTCCATAACCATGTCCATAACCATATCCAAAACCATGTCCATAACCATGTCCATAATGTGTCCCAGCTCCACAGGATTTTCTCCAGCCCTCTAAGGCATGACAGGGGTGGGAGGATGAGGCCTTGTTCCCAATATTCAGACTCCCCATGTTTGGTGCTCCCCTGGAAGTTTCCCTGAGCACATTTGGGTTTTTTGCTTCTTCCCCAGTGTAACTGGGTGTCACGGAGAGCAGACCAGGGCCCCAAGACCATCGAGCAGATCCATAAAGAAGCCAAGATTGAAGAGCAGGAAGAACAGAGGAAGGTGCAACAACTCATGACCAAAGACAAGAGGAGACCAGGTAAAGTAAAAGCCAAGTTGTCTGCTCATTTCACATCCAGTGCCCTTACAGGGAATCCACATAAAAGGAAAAAAGTCTGTGGTTTTTTTTTTTTCCTAAGTGTAATTAGCAAAGGAAACTGGGGCCTGATATGGCAGAGGCTGGAAAAGGAACAGACCTGCCATGGATTGGCTGTGGGGATTTTCAGGGGCAAATCTCATGGGTCACAATAACCAACCACAGGCCAACAGTGCTTACACATTCCATTCCACAAACCATGTTGGATTTTATGACAGGCTGCCAGAAATCTGTTCTAACAAGTTATTATATAGAAGTCAGATTTGCCATCCATTCTCATGCACTGCAGAGTCTCATTCCAAGAGAAAAACATCTCATTTCAAGAGAAAAACGTCTCATTTCAAGAGAAAAGCATCTCATTTCAGGAGTAACCGTGTTTGTCTTCAGTTGTTAAAGCCATGAGGTGCTGACTCTGTGTGAGGGAGTTCTTGGTGTCACCTTTAACTGCTCCTGGCCCTCAGGGCACTGTCTGAAGACAAAGTTGGAGTGACTGGGAAAATGAACACTGGGACAGAGCAGGGCACAGAGAGAATAATTTTAGGGATTGGGGAATTCTCTAAGGATTGTCAAATGAAAGTGCTTTGAAAACAGGATGGAAAAAAAAGTCCATGTAGACTTGAATTATCCTAAAAGCGACACCAGGAGAAGGTGAGGGACCTGGGAGTGCCTGAGGGACTCCATGTCAGACCAGCCAAGCACTGCAGGAATTGTGGGGTGAGTGAGGCTCTGGTCAGGGAAGGCTCTCACCTCACCAGCTCCTGTGAGCTCCTGAATGCAGAGAAATCCAGCCAGGAGCCATCCCTTCCAAAAACAGCCCCTGGAGGAGTGAGAGCTGTTCTGTGCAGGCTGGGGTGTGAGGGCACAGGCAGGCAGGGGGAGAGGGGTTCTCAAGCAAGACCCTGCCCTCAGAGCAGTGAGCTGGGCTGGGCTGAGCTGAACTGGGCTGGGCTGAGCTGAGCTGAGCCAAACATGGCTCTGTTTGTCCCCTCAGGTGTCCCACGGGTGGACGAAGGCGGCTGGAACACTGTGCAGGGGGCAAAGAACAGCAGAGTGCTGGACCCCACCAAGTTCCTTAAAATCACCAAGGTAGGTGCCAGCACAAGGCTCCTTCAGGGCAATAAAACATCTGTTAGTCCAGGAAGGACTAGGAGGGTGTGTGCAGGTCAAAACTTAAATCCTCAGAGTTAATACTGGGTGTAAATCAAGCTGCATTTTCTTCTGGACGTTCCTGTTTTGTCCTGAGAGAAAGGAGTGTGCAGACTTTCTATCTCAGGTTCACAGTGTCCTTTTGAGCTCCAGAAGCTCTCACAGTCACAAAATCTGCATTTTATTAGTGATGAAAATGTGAGCCAGGGTATTGTGTGACAGCAGCACAGTCCCCATGTTCCATGGGTCTCAAACACATCACCTGGGGGTCTCAAACACCTGCTGGAAATCCTTGGCTGCCCCAAGTTCTTGAGACCCTCATCTGATGCTGCTCCTCAGTAAAACAGGGAGGCCACATCCATTTTGATGTGTCACAAACAGCAGCACTCCAGACTCAGGATGCTCCAGTAGAATGGAGAGAGCTGTGTCTGCTTTAGAGGTTTCTCAACTTTGTGGCATGGTTGCATCCCCCAGTATGTGATAAACTCTCATGTTCATCCTCCAGATGAGCATCCTCCTGTTATTTCACCATTAGACTGGTGAATTTGGGACAGTTTTCCAGGTTGCAGGTTGGGCAAGTTGGAGATTTCTCCTTTGTTGAAGTTCAGAACAGCTCTAGGTTTTCTTGCTGAGGAGGAGTCTGGCCTTTGCATAAATCAGTGACTCTTGAATATTCCCTTGTCCCATTTAATGTCACTTGCCCTGGATTTTTACACTCAGTGCCTGGATTCTTGGAGAGCTGTACAGCAGGACCTGGACAGACTGCAGCCCCTCTGCAGATCCAGTCAGTTTGTTCCTTCTGAAAGTCATAAAACAGTTTCCAAAACTTCATTAGCAGGAGAGGTTCAGCCTCCTCCTGCCTGGGCTTACAGCTCACCTGGGAAAAGCCCTCCTCCTCTGTTCCATACAAATGGAGCTGGTTCCACAGCAGCTGCTTTGGAATGAGAGGAGCTCCCCTGAGATCTGCGAGGTCACAACCTCCTTGTCAATAAATTCTCCTACTCAACATTGTAAAATCAATATTCTCTTCTTGCCAGACACCACTTCCTCCAAGTTCTGCCACCTGTTGTCATCCTTTGCCCTCTGGATTGTTTGGTGTCCTGCAGATCCCCCCAAAGCCATGACTGGAGAGTTGATGGACAGTGAATCTGGCTTACACATCACAGACAAACTGAACAGCTTTCAAATATGGATTTACTGAGCTTTTCCACCTTCCTGAGCTTCAGAATTCCCAACAAAAAGAAGCTCCTGCTCACTGTGAATGTCTCATTGACATTTGGAAGAGATCACATCATCTTTGTGATGCCCTTTGTTGTTTGTGTCCCCTGTCTTGGGCCACAGTTTAGTCTTCCAGAAATATGTGAAGTGTATTTTGCTGTTCACAAGACTGGGATTATTGCCAAAAAATCTCCCATTTATCATTACACTGTAGGATTTGCCCTTGTAACTGTACCTCTTGGTGTGTTTTACAGCCCACAATAGATGAGAAGATTCAGCTCGTGCCTAAAGCCCAGTTGGGCAGCTGGGGGAAGGGCAGCAGTGGTGGAGCCAAGGCAAGCGAGATGGGTAAGTGAGGATGGACCCTCACCCTGGGTTTGCTGCTGAAGAGCAGCTTTGGGTGGGGTTCACAGAGCACCTTTGGGTGGGGTTCACAGAGTCAGGGAATGTCCTGAGCTGGAAGGGACCCACAGGGATCAAACCCAGCCCCTGGCCCTGCACAGACACCCCAACAATCCCAGCCTGTCCTGGAGCTCTGGCAGGGCTGGGCCCGTTCCCTGGGCAGCCTGGGCAGTGCCAGCACCCTCTGGGGAAGAGCCTTTGCTGATCTCCAGCCCAAACCCCCCTGGGCCAGCCCCAGCCCTTCCCTGGTGCTGTCCCTGCTCACAGGCAGGGATCAGAGCTGTCCCCAGTGAGGGCTCCCCTCTGTCCCCTCTGTGTGACCTCCTGGCAGGAAGGGTTGAGGTGGGGCAGGCCCAGCCTTTCCCTGCAGTTCTGCCCATGTGGCTGGGCTGAGCTCTCAGCAGCTCCTGACCTTGTTGCTCTGCTCTGTGTTGTCTCCACCATCTCCAGACTCCTTGCGACCAAGTGCCACAAGTCTGAACAGATTTTCTGCCCTGCAGCCTCCAGTGTCCCCAGTATCTGCCTCATCTGCATCTTCAGAACTAGAATCTCGCAGGGCCTTAACGAGGTGAGTGTCACTCCATCACTCCTCATGCTGCCCTTTGCACCAGCACTCAGAAAAAAAAGAATTCCTTGCTTTTCCAGGAATGGCTGAGTCCTTTTCCCACTCTGAGTTAGCTTCCAACATGCCTGTATTTTATAATATCATAGGAGAGAGAGATTTAATTAATTTTTAAAGCCATTTTGATTAATGTTTTAGTTTCCACTTCACCCTTCAGCCAAGGGTGGTTGTGTTTAACAGATTAGAAACTCTTCAGATAAAATGTAGTAATAAATAGGTTGGATTTAATGGCTGTGAATTCAGCCAGGTCAGTAGGTTTATTTATCCAGGAAAACACACCTAAAACCTGGCAGAAATGCAGCATGAAACCATGTCTGACCCTTCCCGGCAGCTGTGACCTGCCCATGCTCCCACATCCAACAAAAAACTGCAGAGCCTCTCTCTCACTCCAGTTCCTTCAGGGCTGCAGCCACTCCAGCGTGGAGCATGAAACATGCATTAACCCTCAATAATTTATTAACTCTAGACATGGTTTATAAATGTACAGTTCATTTAAAATGTCACTGGGTCTTCCTTCCAGTGCACACAAGCTGCTCAAGTGTTTTCCTGGGTTGTGCCTCCAATATTTTCTGCATTGTGCCTCCAATGTTTTCCCTCCTATTTCAAGTAAAGCTCGGGCTTATTCCATTATGGTTTCAATTTGCCCATCTTACTCGTTAACACAGTAATTAATAGGACATATCATTGTCACCTGTTACTGGGAGCCTTCACTCTTTGGGAGGTATTTTTTAATTTATGGGTAAAAAATACAACTCTCATGGAATCACAAAATGTTTTGGGGTGGAGAGAGTTGAGAGATCACCCATTCCCACCCCTTGCCATGGCAGGGACACCTCCCACTGTCCCAGACTGCTCCCAGCCCTGTCCAGCCTGGCCTTGGGCACTGCCAGGGATCCAGGGGCAGCCACAGCTGCTCTGGGCACCCTGTGCCAGGGCCTGCCCACCCTGCCAGGGAAGAATTCCTTTGTTACATCTAATCTAAAGCTCCCACACCATTTCAAAGGGAAACACAGTCCATGTGTTATAAAATTCACTATTCCATTATAAAATGGGTGCTGTAGAGCACTGCTTTTCCATATATTCTCTAGGAAGCATTGGCTGTTCCTGTCCACTCTAGGTATTTGTGTTTGTGAGTTTCTGAAATTGAGTTAATTTTGGTTGTGGGTACAGCTGTAAGAAACAGAGCCAGCAATCCAGCAATCCTGCAAATTCTCTGTAAGAAACAGAGCCAACAATCCTGCAGAGTTGAGGGGTATTTTTTCCCTGCAGTGAAGCCCTGGAGTCCCTCTCCTCACCCCTGAGCTGGTTTTTGTGTTTTCGTTTGGCAGTCGTGGGAGCACGGGCAGGGAGAAGAACGACAAAGCTCTGCCACCCTCCCTGGCCCGGCCCAACACCTTCCTGAGGGGCAGCAGCAGCAAGGAGCTGCTGCTGGACAACCAGGCCCAGGAGGAGCAGCGCAGGGAGATGCTGGAGACGGTGAAGCAGCTGACAGGAGCCATGGAGATGGACAGGAACAGCACCGAGGCCGAGAGGAACAAAGCCAAGGAACCTGGTGAGGGCTCCTCTGGGTGTGTGGGATGGCACAAGGAGAAACTGTCAGGAGCAGGGACAGGTGTCTGGCTGTGCAGGGCACTGTCACATGCACCTCCCAGAGCTGGGTGACCCAGCTGAGTCAGGCAGGCTGGGAAATCATCCCCCTCTGCAGCTCCTCTGTGGGATCCAGTGGGGCTGTAGGTGCCAGCACAGCACCACCCATGGCATTGGCTGCTCTGTTTTGTTCTGTTACTCTCCTCCAAATCAGTGTCAGTTCTCTAGGAATGCCATATCTGCCCTTTTCAAGGATTCCCCAGGGCAGGGATTTGGGTCAGATGGTGCACAGCAGCTTTTTAGCACTGTGTTGTTGCCACCCCTTCTTCCAGCCAGCCCTGGTGCAGCAGGAGGGTGGCACCCACCAGGGTGACCTGTCTGTCACCTTGTCAGTCCTGCAGCTCCTGTTTTTCCCTCCTGCCAGCCTGGGAAGTTAGTTGGAAAATGTGGACACTTAAGGGGACAGAACCTTTGCAGTAAGGACAGCACTCAGCTCCTTCCCTGAGAAACATCTGGAAACTGCTGCAATGAGGGAAACACCTCAACTGCCACAGCACAGGCTTGTCCTGAAGCTTTGGGATGTTCTAGACAGTCTATGGGGTTTTGGGATGTGTTTGGGAGATTGCCTTGGGCTGCTGCCCATCTCAGTCAGCACATTTTAACTTTGCTGCAGCAGCTCCCATTTAATTATTTAATGTTCGTGCAGAGCTTTGAAGGTGTTTGACCTGTGCCACTGCCAGCTGTGATCCTGCAAGGTCAACTTACAGAAATACTGGGAGTTCATATGGGGGGAAAGTAGCCAGGAAAGAATCCCAGAATCCCAGAATGGTTTGAGTTGGAAATCTTAAAGCTCATCCAGTTCCAGCCCCTGCTGTGGGCAGGGACACCTTCCACCTATCCCAGGTTGCTCCAAGCCCCATCAAAGAACCTGAGGATGGGACAGGGGACACACCTGCCCTAGTGACTTCTGTTCTCAGAATGTCATCTCTGAAATGCTGATTTTCCTTTTCCAAACATTTTTTGTTGCTGTATTTCCACCAGCCAAGCCAGAAGTTCCCCCAGCTCCAGTGCAAGAAAAGCCTTCACTATCAGAAGAGGAAATAGAGAGAAAATGCAAATCTATCATTGATGAGTTCTTGCATATTAATGATTTTAAGGTAAGCAAGATGAAAACCTCACTTAACAGACATCTCTGAGGGGCTGCAGTGGTTTCTGTCCAGGATGTGTCTCTGTGAGCACCCAGCCCACAGACAGAACCAGCAGCAGCTCCAGGGGCACTTTCAGGACACTTGTCTGTCTCCCAAGCTTGTTTTGTGCCCTGCTGGAAAGAGGAAGAACAGCCCAGGCTGTGTGTTTTAAGTAGCAGGATGGATGTGTATCTGTCATGAATCACTGAGCAGCTCCATAATACCAGCAATTTTGGAAGCAGAAAAGCTAGTGGGAAAATAAACAGAGGTTTTCATTTAGTTATCAAAGCATGTGCTGTTCTGATCTGGAGGCAGATAAAGCAATACTAAATATTGAACAAACCACTCCAGAGGATTTTTAATAAACATTGGAAATTACTGAGCAGCTGTCATCACTTCCTAGTTAAAAGGTTGAAATTTTGTTTCCCTTGTAAATGGGATTTTTAGCTCGTCCAGGGAGTTTGCAAGAAGTGTTACATTGGCTGCAAGGCTGTTTCATTTGATCTTTCACTGAAATAAATTTTAAAACCTGCCAAGTTTGAAATGGCAGCACTTGGGAGTTTCTGGTTTGGCACCTTAAAAGCAGAGTTGCTGCTTCCATTTCATTGGACTTCCAATTAATAATTGGAAAGAGGAATATTCTCATGATGGATTGTTTAGAGTTCACATCTAGTTAATGGGATAAATTATTAAATACTTGGTTTGGAGAGGAAGAACCTTGCTCTGATTGGCAGTGAGCTGGCCTGGGACCCAGGGGCTGGTGAGCCAAGGAGTCTCTGCTCTTTTCCTGCTTGTGATGGACTCCAAAGGCTGCCCCGGATGCCTGTGATGAAGGGGCCTCTTCAGGTCCCTGTTTGCAAATGCAGCAATTTGGGTATTTCTGTATTGCTGTGGCCTGCTGAAAGTGGAGCTGAATTGCATTAGACAGGGCAGGGCTGGTTCAAAGTCCATGGAGTCAAGGCACTTTGTTTGCATCAGGAATTTCTTGGTACTGGCAGATTCTTGGTGCCCTCAGGTGCAGCAAAGCTCTGACTGCTTAAGGAGGCAGGAAGGCCACTGAGATCTCTGGGCTGGACCCAGAAGGTCACTGGAAGGTCTTTGTGATGGTAATGGAGATTTTTGATGTGGGACTTTGAAAGCTGCTCTCTAAAGTCTCCGAGTGTTTCTTTGGTTAGGTTGCAAAATGCTCACATCAGAAAGTGGGAGCTTTAGAAAGGGGAAATCTTCTCCAAGTGCTCCCAGCTATTTTCTGCTCCTTGATGGGCTGTGGGTTTGTAACACAGGCATTTGTGCCAGCTCAGATCAGTAGCAAATCTGATCTGATACCTTTTTTTTGACTTGATATTTGATATAGTAATCAGTGTTTTGGTGGCATCCAGAAGATAACTTTTGCCATTTCCCAAGCAGCCCTAGAATGTGATTTGTTAGCTGAGTGGTATAAATTCCATTATTGCTGTTACTGTTGGTTTTGTTACTATTATATGATGAAGTTCCACAGCCTAATTCAGTGAGCCTGTGGAACCTCACTGAATTAGGAACCACTTTGCCTGGCAGCCTCACTAAATCCTCATTTCACCAAAAATCCCTGGTGTTACAGTAGGAAATTCTCTTGTGCCACGTGTTTGCGGCTTTCAGAGGAGGGTGTTTGCTGCTTTCAGGGGAGGGTGACTCTGTGTGTTGTTCCACAGGAGGCCATGCAGTGTGTGGAGGAGCTCAGTGCCCAGAGCCTGCTGCCCGTGTTCGTGCGCGTGGGCGTGGAGTCCACGCTGGAGCGGAGCCAGATCACCAGGGATCACATGGGCCAGTTGTTACATCAGCTGGTGCACTCAGGAAAGCTGAGCAAGCAGGAGTTCTTCAAGGGGTTGGTATTCTGCTCAGAGAATCCACAGATTCTTTTCTGCAGTGTTCCTTGCAAATGGATGCTGTGCTGCAGAGAAATCTCCCACCTTGTTTTGGTGTCCTGCCCTCTCCACACGTTCTTGTGGAAGGACTGTGTGATTTGGGTGTATTTATAAGGAATATTATTATTGCAATATATTTTAAAGTGTTTCAGATGCCTTAGTGAACATAAATATGTTCATATTTATGTCAGCTTGCATTTTGAAGCAGATCTGTAGGTGTCTGTTTAAATGTGTGTGCTCAGATCCCTGTTTGTGCTGCATTTCTCCCTGTTTGACTTTTGCAAATCCCTGAGTGTAAGTGGAACAGGAGGAAATCAGAATCCTTTACACAACAGGCACCGTCCCACTGGGATGAAGGCTTCACCCACACCCATCCATCTCCCAGGACAGCTCAGCTCAAGGGGCTGAGGAGGAGAACACACAGCAGAGGGGTTGGACCTGCCAAGAGACACAGAGTTTTGGCTGCTGGCTCATTTCAGCTCCCTGAGATTGGTGTTCCCAGCCTGCTGTCCAGTCCTACAACAATCCCTGCTCCCATGGAGGTCCCTGGTGGCTCTCAGTCCTTGCTGGGGTGCAGAGCAGGAGGGATAAAACACAAATTCAGCAGTGAAGGAGCAGATGAAGTACACTGAGTTGCTGAGGAGTTGGCTCTGTCTGGCTTTAATCTGAGTCTCTGTCATTGTGGTACCACCAACCACTCCAACAGGAAACTCCCTGCACCTGTGTCTGCCCCTGAACTTCATCCAGCTCACAGGAAAGGTTTTGGCAGCCTGAGCTCAAAACCATATGGAACTGCTGAAAAAATCTAAATCCACAGGGAATACTCTTGTCCACACAGCACTGATGGTCAGAGGGACTCGTTTGAGGTGATACACACCCAAAATGTGTTCTGGTGAAAGCTGTTCCTGAGCTTCCTGGAGTTTGGAAAGTGGATCTTGATGAAATACTGGGATTTGTGCTCTGAATGTGACATAAACAATGTGAAACAGCTCCTGAAGATGATGGAAAGGGCAAGTGGTGTTCAGAGGGTGTGAGAACACCAGAAACCAACTCACCTACAGACACAGGAGAAGTGACCGTGTAAGGAGGGATCACAGGGTGAACACTGGTCCCAGCCTATGACTGGGGAGATGCACAACAGGAAAATAATTTCTGCCAGAAAGGCTGGAGGAGCAACAGAGGTTGCAAAGAATAAAGCAAAGGAAATGGTTCCTGGTTTGAAACAAGGAAAAATGTGCATTTATAGTCACTAAACAGGACACTGGACTTCTCAAGGTTTTCAGGGAGAAACAAACCATGATAGAAACTGGCAGGAGAGCAGAAAAATTGCCATGTCCCAGGCGTGGGAAGTGAAGCCACCTGCAAGGGTTTCATGGGAAAGAAGAGTTTTGAGCCATTCTGGAAAGTGTATCACTGGGGAGCAGCCCTATAATTCCTGCTGCAGATAGAAACTCTGCTGAACTGAGCTCTTACAGACATTTCACTGCTTACCTTACACTTGGAATTCTGTTAGGATTCACCCCCTTCTCTAAATGTTTGGATATTTTTAAGAAGGTTTCATTTACTTGATGGTTTATATACAGACAAGAAAGCTTTTTAGTTTTATAGGTGTTACTGTTTAGCAAGGGATTTGATACTGGATATAAGAATTATTATAACAGGAGTTTTCCTGGATATATCTGTTGGATCTACAAAAGGTGATGTCTTTTCCACATATTCTCCTTGTTACTGCATGGAGAAATTCAGTATTGGCAGTTTGGAAGTACCAAAGGCATAAAATGGCAAAGGTTTTTTGTTACCTTTGTGATTCTCCTCACTCCTCTCTCTCTTCACTCCTCTTTTATGTCAAAAAATATTTTTAAAGCACAGATTTCTGTGATGGAAATGTCTCCAATTAAATTTTATTTAACACTTGATGTCTTTTCCTCTTTCTGAAGTTTCTCTGAGACCCTGGAGATGGCAGATGACATGGCCATAGATATACCCCATATCTGGCTGTACCTGGCTGAGTTGGTGACCCCCATGTTAAAAGAAGGAGGAATCTCTATGAGAGAACTTATACAGTAAGTGATGCTTTCCCAGCTGTGCCTGAAGTGATTTCTCTGTGGTTCCCATCAGTGGTGGAGGATGAGCAGTGCTGGAGGCTCAGGAGAGCTGTTGCACATCCTTGGGGGGCCACACCAGCCTGAGAACTCTGCTGGGAAGGGAGCTTGGTGTTTTCACCCTTGGAGAAGGATTTATCCATAAATCTGCTGCTGTTCCAGCTAAAAATACCCCAGTGCTGTAGAGTGGGGTGATTTGGGAGCACAGAGGCTCTGGGAATTGGCCTTGCAGAGAATGAGGGATTGCAGAGGGTCAGAGGGTAACTGAAGGAGGGCTGGGCTGGGTGGGATGTTGGAATAAATTCCCCTCTGTGAGGGTGAGGAGCCCCTGGCATAGTTTGCCCAGAGCAGCTGTGGCTGCCTCATCCCTGGAGGGGTTCAAGGCCAGGCTGGATGGGCTTGGAGCAGCCTGGGACAGTGGAAAGTGTCCCTGCCCAAACTATGGGATTCCATGTCTCTGCCACCTGGGCACTGCCTTAAATGGGCACAAAACTTTGTCTGCAAGACCAGAAACCATTTCCTGGACCAGAATTCCTGTATTTTCTATATGTCCTTACATATCTGGGGATTAACTGTGAACCAGTTCAATGGTTCCTATTTCTATTACCAGTATATTAAGAAAATAACAGTCTTTTCCCTCTACCCAAGTGCAGCATCCCACAAAAACGAGTGGATTTGACATAAATATAAAATTTTTTTTGATGTAAAATTCAAGACTTAATAATTAGCCCTGTAGTGACAAGGTCACTGCATCACTAAATGTTTTATCAGCAGTGCTGGATTAATCAAATCCTTCCTCCATGGGAGAAGTTAAAGATGATTTCCTGCTTCAGTTTGGTCACTGGATTTCCTGCCTCAGTTTGGTCACTGGTTTTCTGGATTTGCATCCCAAAATTATAACAGAAAATTATAACAGAAATCCCAAATTATAACAGAAAAACACCTGTTTTTCTTTCATTCTAGAGAATTTAGCAAACCCTTGCTTCCTGTGGGAAGAGCCGGCGTCTTGCTTGCTGAAATCTTGCACCTTCTATGCAAACAAATGGTGAGTGCCTGGTGCTGTGTCCTCCTCCAGAGGGAGGAGTGGATGCAGCGCTCGTGTTCATGCATGAAACCTTCACCATTCCCACCTGAGGACATTTAGGGATGGGCCAGCCAGTCCAGCTAACTTAGGAACTCTGCCTCGCACCCCCAGTTTCCAAGCAAGCCTTAGGAGGTTCCAAAAAGTTGAGTTAACTTTTTGTTTTCTCATCACTTTTCCCTTTTGCAGGTACCTTTGCACCTGGCTTCTCCCAGAAGCTAAGAGTGCTGAAATACTGCAGGAGGGACATGCTCAAGGGATTTCTGGGCTGAGCAGAAGCAGCAAGTGCCGGGAATCTTGCGAGAGAACTGTTCTTGCAGACCGGAGAGGTTCTCAGGGTTCGGATAAGCTGCGATGGCCTCAGACTGCTGTGTGCTTATCCAAACTAAAGCTGCGACTCTCGAGGTTCACCCAGCACTGGGGTAGTGACACCTCCTCACCCCGGGACTCCCAGAGCTCTCTTTCACACCTCACAGCTGCGTGTCCAACCAGTTTGGTGGTTTCCCTATAACTCATCTCCATTTTTTTGTCTTTTTTTTTTTTTTTCTTTTTTGTGATTCAGCTGAATCCTGCACTTTGCATAGTGTCTATTTTCCAACCCTGTAAAATCCCTCACTTGCCTTTTTTTTTTTTTAATTTTTTTTATTTTATTTTTTCAAGCATGCATTCAAGTAAGGTTGAATGTTCCAGGAGCATTTCAGTCCAACAGTGCAAAGAGTGACTTTTTATTTATTTATTTTAGTCTTGTGCTTGTTTGGACAGTCAACTTCCATTTTTTTTTTTTTTTAACTATTCTGTGAAAGAAAAGCTGCTGTGCTCTGGGTGTGGAAGCACAGCCTTGGGTCTCTGTGTCTGCCACAGCTTTCTGATCAAATCTTGTCCAGTCCAAGACTTGGACTCGGGTATTTCAGTGTAACATCAGCCATCTAACCCAGATCTTGGTGGATCAGAGCAGGAACTATGCACAGTTTGCTCTTAACAACCTGTATTGTAAACTGAAAGTTGTAATCTGCTTTGTAAACTGAAAATCAGGCAGCATTTCTCAGCTTGACTTAGGCAACTCAGTGATCTCCTGTGAGCAGGTGCTGTAAGGTGAAACTTTGGCAAAGCATTTGGGTGAAAAGAGCTGGTTGTGCTCAGCATTTTTATTCTTGTCAGAACTGTGTGTGTCAGAACTGTGCTCTCTGAGGCAGGAGGCTCAAAGGTCAGTGTGACATTAGAGGCTGCAAAAGGCTGAACTGTCTGTGCTCACGGGCACTGCTCTCAAGGTTTGCATAAACTCTAGGAACTGAAGAGAGGATTTGGGATTATGTGCCTGAATTTGAGGCTGAAAACAGCTGAGTAAATGAGGAGTTTTCTCAAAGGAGCAAATTGCCAGAGCCTTACTGTCAAGGCAAGGGAGTGTGTGATGGAGTAATTTAGGAGAAGGGTTTGAGTCAGGTGTGGAAGGTGCCCTGTCCCAGTGTCACTGCTCAGGGTGACCTCGGCGCTCGCTGCGACCCCCCCGTGTCACTCCTGCCTTGCCCACCTGACAAGATGTGCATTCCTGGGGACTGCACATGTGGTTCCTCTGCAGCACATGTGGTTCCTCCTGCACGGGCTCTCCAGATGTTCTCACTCGTTGCTGGGTGTTTGTGGGGTGGCTGAAGTGTCCTTTATTCCTCCTGACACAGCTGCACCACTCCGGCCCCTGGGAGCTGCCAGGGTGTCCCTCAGCTCTTTAAAGGGACAAACTCTTGTGTTTCAGAGCCATAAGAAAGTGGGAGCCTTATGGAGGGAGTCTGGCCTCAGTTGGAAGGACTACTTGCCCGAAGGGGAGGATGTACATACCTTTCTCATGGAACAGGTGAGTTCACATCAAACCCATTTGTTCATCCTCTTCCATCCCATTCTTATGCGCAGTTGGAATTTGGGGTGAAGTGTGTCCAAGTTGGGGTAGATGATTTCAGCGCCACAATGTGAAGCACAGGGAGGACAAGCCTGTTCTGGGAAAAAAACATTCAGTGATGAGTTTTAGAGCAAGGACAGACAATCTGCAGAAGGGCCACAATTAATGGTAGCAGTTATTCACTCATCCCACCTTGGGTTATGGTCCTGGAGGGAGCCAGCACTGATGGAGGCACCTCAACTCCTGCTGGTGCTGCTCCTCAGGAAGTCACTGCCTCCCTTTGGAGCTTTGAGTGATCCACTGCCCTGTTCTGGCACTTTGGAAGTGCTGCAGGAAATGAAATTATTACCATGACTGGGCCTTGCTGAGGGGACTGCAGCTCTTGTGTCACAGTTCTCAAGGAATTGGGGCACTGGCTGCAATTCCTTTGAGCCAGTGCCAGCTCTGGGTGTTGCATTCCAGCCCCTATAGCTCCAGCCAGGCAATGCACACTGGATTTTGTGCTGGAGCTGCCTGAGGTGCCTCCTTGTCTTTGCTGGATAATGGAGTTCCCATGTGTAAAATGCTTCCTAACCTTTGGAACAGGGAAAGTTGATATTGTAACAATAGCTGAGCAGCTGAGAGATGCCAGGAAGCAGAATTAAATGTCATTTCCTACTTCAATCTGGTGTAATTCAGCCTAGGAAAGTGCATTTCACTAATTGTCATCATCACATGTGGTGTTGCAGAAGTTGGAGTTCACGGAGTCTGACTGTTCCAGTTCCTCAGAAGCACTTTCAGAGAAAGAACTGTCTGCAGAAGAGCTGAACAAGCAGCTGGAAAAACTCATTGTGGAGGACAAGGCGAATGATGAACAAATCTTTGACTGGGTAGAGGTACAAAGAGATTTTCACCCTCCCTGCAGAATGTTTAACTGCTTTTGTAAATATGTTCTGATCTGAACATCTCAGGCTATGGGACACTGTGAGGATTTGGTCTTGGTCTGTGCAATCAACACTTCCAAAGAATTAAAATCTAAACTATAATCAGTATTTAAGGGTCAGTTTTAGGAAGGAAGGCTTTTAGCCATATTAACTGTGTAACCTTTTAAATACTGTAGACTTTCTGACACTGAATATCCTGCTTCTGCCACTCAGTATATTTTAGATGTGCACTGCTACATCGTTTCTTCATAAAATTCTTGCTATTTTTCCCAACATGACCTCTGCAAATTTCCTGCTGTAAAACATCCTGGGCAGTCACTGAGAACACCTTTTCCCAGTGCACTGGAACAGAGAAAATAAAAGTAAAGAAAAAAAAAAAAGAGGAAAAGGCCTATCAACCCATGGTCTTCGCTCTCAGTCTCTGGCTGCCTTTAACTCAGATATTTATTGTCTGTAATTATACCCAACCTATGCATTTACATCTGTGCTTGTACTAAATCTTGGTCAGCTTCAGTTCAGTTATTTCTGTGGCAGAGCAATGTGTTAGAAATGTCATTTTTCCACTGCTGTTAGAGGAGTTGAGAGTGGAATGAAAGCAGCACTGAAAATCTGGGATCACCCACAGGCTCTTTGGAGCCTTGGACAGTTTCCACAGCCATTCCCTGAATTTCTTTTACAAAACAAACAATCTCCACCCAAGGAGCATGCTGTAAAATTTGTTGGAAAAGCCCAAAACTCTTGGAGACTGTGTGAGGGCGTTGCAGGAGCGTGGTTGGTTTGGTTCTGCACACAAACAGCTCCTTGAGGGAGGTGCTCAGTGGCACAGGGATCCCAAGGGAGCTGCTGATGTCCTTGAGGGAGCTCCAGGGGGTGAGTGGGGGGCTGAGGGTTGCAGGGCTGAGCTGGGTTTGTGCCACAGCAGCAGCTGAGCCTGGATTTGCTGCCAGGCCCAGCTCTGGAGTTTTGCAGTCCTGCAGTGTTTTTAACTGCTCCATTTCCTCTTGATTGCAGGCTAATCTAGATGAAAGCCAGATGAGTTCACCTACATTCCTTAGAGCTTTAATGACAGCAGTTTGTAAAGCAGCTATTATAGGTGAGTAACTTGCAGTGTAAACACCACACAAACCAAACCTGCGAAGAATTATTTGGTATTTTTGAGGTTTGTATCACATTTCCCTGGCCAAGGCTGTATTTTGTCACACACTAAGGCTTTTCCATCATTTGGGATTGTGCCTGAGAGCAGGGTGACAGCTGGGTGCTTTGCTGGGTATGGTGTTCCTGAGGTGCCCCTGGTGTGAGCAGGGGTCTCAGACAGTGCTGGGTAGTGCCAGGTTGTTCATTGATTTCCTTAATGAAGGTGGAAATGACTGAGATCACCATTCAGGCAATGAACATTTCCACTTCTGTGTCAGCAAAGATGTGTGGGCAGCCAGTGTGGGCAGTGGGGAGAAGCCAGGCTGGGGCTCAGGCTTGTGAGAGTTTTATATCCAAAGTTTCACTTTTGGAAGGATGGTTTCTGTGCATTTTCCTGACTGTACAACTGGAAGCACAGGGAAGGAAAAGCTCCCAAGCCAGACACGTGAGCCTCAAGCCCTCAGTGGGGGTTGAGTAAAGCACTGCAGGCAGAAACATCTGCTCAGTTCACTTGGTTTTCTTTAACTTTACTGTTGGCATCTGGCACAGCAAAAAGTGGTGCTTGTAAAGGCTCTGGTTCTGCTCTGAGCTGTGATTTAGGGGAGGACAGGCTGGATTCCACCAGTGAGGGAGGGGAGGGACAGGCCAGCTCCTTCCTCTCTCTGGGAACACAGCCGTGCTCGTGCCACCTAGTGTTAACAGAGACACGACACAGGACTTCATTTCCAAGGCTGTTGTGTAAGGAAAATCATCCTCTGGTTCAAATTTTGGCCTTGCCTCTGAGTTTTTTTTCTTTTGTTTTCAAAATATCACCTAATTGGGATGCATGATCTACTTGAAAGCTGCTGAATAATTCGTTCTTGTGGCTGATGGACTCTAATGCATATTTTTATATATTCACTATTTCCTATATCATGTGCAACTTGTGATACTGTTTCTGCCTGGGTATTTTTAGCTAAAAAAGAATTTTCTAAAAACCTTTTTAATGCAGTTGCCTCTGGAGACACCATTTGCACTGCAAAGTGAGGTTGTGCTGCTGCTGCTTGTGTTAGAGCTGGGGTCACTGCAGGCAGTGAATGCGGGGAGCTGTAAGGACCAAGACTTCCAGAAACAACCATTAACCAAAAATACTTGCTGTTTTTTCTCATCCTCCTTTTCTCTCTGCTCCAAACTGTGTTTGTGATTGCAGTTTGCATTAGTAAAGGCAGTCAAAGAGCTGTCCCTGTTGCCATGTGGTAGCTGACCCTGCTTTCTCCTCCTCTCCCCAGCGGACTCTTCCAGCTTCCGAGTGGACACTGCTGTTATCAAACAGAGAGTGCCCATCCTACTCAAGTACCTGGACTCAGACACAGAGAAGGAACTACAAGCACTTTATGCACTACAAGCATCAATAGTAAAACTTGATCAACCTCCTAGTAAGTGTTGCCTCTGTGCTGGGGATTTAAGCCTGGATAAGGGCAGGGGGGTTCTGTGGGAGATGGGAAGAGGATGAGGATGTATTTTCCTTACCTTTGTAGGCAGCTGATGAGAGAAGCTGGTGTGGGTAGGTTCAGCTTGTCTAGATCCCAGATTTTTAGAGCAGCTCAAGTTCCCTCCCAAATGCTTGGCCAGAGTCTGGTGCTTCTTTTGGTTGTTCTGTGAGCAGCCACACAAAAGGAAGGACAAACCTCTGTTGATAAAAAGAGAGCAAAAAAGAGCAGTAAAAAATAATCTGCAGAGTTTTCAGTACCTGGGATGCAGTGAGAACTGCATTGCTACTCCACAGATGTCTGTGGGCTTGGAGGGAATAAAATGAGTTGGTCAAGTGATGAGTTTTGTCCCAGAGATGCTACAGAAAACCCTTGTGGGACAAGAGGCAAGGGAGTAGCCAAAGAAGCAGGGATTCCCAGGGAATCTGCAGCACAAAATCCAGGAGTGCCTCAAAACATCCAACATGATCATCCTTAGTGCCCTTTATGACATTAGTTGGGCATTATCTCTCCTGATGAGCCACAAAAATCCTGGGGCTGGAGGGAATCCAGCCATGTGGTGCAGAGGAGATCCTGCTTGCAGGCAGTCTCTAGATAACAGATTGATAACAGAATCCCACAGCTGCTTTCCCAGCTTCCCCTCTCCTCTGACAGTGTCAAGGGGTCAGTTTTCCCCTCACCTGAGTGTGAGCAGCCAGGAGCAATAACTGAGTGAGAGCTCTGTGTTTCCCTTGTCTCCCCCATCATCTCCCGTGCCGAGAGGTCGCGTTAATCCCTTTATGTGCAGCCAGGGCTGACAGATGTTGGTGCTTTATCCCATTCCTGCAGATTTGTTGCGGATGTTTTTTGATTGCCTGTATGACGAGGAGGTCATTTCGGAGGATGCCTTCTACAAGTGGGAGAGCAGCAAGGACCCGGCGGAGCAGAACGGGAAAGGAGTAGCGCTCAAATCCGTCACGGCGTTCTTCACGTGGCTACGGGAGGCCGAAGAGGAGTCAGAGGATAATTAAAACTTAAAAAAAAAAATACAGATTTAAAACAAACAAACAAAAAAAAAAGAAACAATTTAAGTATTTTTTTAAAAAGTTTCACGTCTTCGCCAATCACAGTGCAGCAAGGCCAATTCTCTCTCGCAGACCCCCCTTGCCCCACGCACGCACGAGTGGGAGAGGTAAAACCCGATAAACACCGAGGTGATCATGGAGGCAAAAAGGTACTTGAAAACAAACCCACAAAAAGTAAACTTCAAACCTGAGGGCGGGAGCACTAAACCAAAATACATGTATTATTTATAGAAAATATTTTCTGTTTTAATCTTTTTCTTTTCTTTTTAAACAAGGACTCATACTTAGGAAAACACACAGCGAAACAAATCTGTTTAGCAAAAACAAGTTGAAAACTTTTAATTTATTATTTTAAGGACTGCAAATGCCAGTGTAATTTTTAAATTTGCAGTTTCTGTAAACAAATTGTATAATAGAACAAAAGCAAAGAAATAAATTTCCCTCCCCTTCATACGCACCTCAGTTTTGTTTCAAAGCATGATAAATCAACAAAACTTTGAAGGGGGTTGGGGTGAGCTAGATGAGGACAAGATCAATTTTTTTTTTATTGTCATCAGATTTTTCTGCCTGCCTCTCAGCTTGCTTCAGAAATTTAAAAAGAAAATAGTAATCAAACCATACATAACCTTGGATCGGAAGAAAAATGCATTTGAGAAAACCGCTGCGGACCAGAGTGCTCCGAAAATAACTCATTGAAAACCGTGCTACCCCGGGGAAAAAAGTACTAGTGATACTTTGAGAACCTTTAGAGCAACTTTAAGGCTTGTAAATACATAGAACAAATATTTAAAAAAAAAAAAAAAAAAAAAAAGAAAGAAATTGACTCAATACTATTTCTTTTCACTTTCAAAATATAAAGAACAAAATAAAGACAAACATTGCAAGTTTAAAAGAAATTAAAACGACTTCTCCTTTGACAGCTGCTGAATGTGTGCACCATCCTGAGCGGTGCTGGCTTCCTTGGCATGCCGTAGGTCCTCGGGCCCAAATTGTGTACATATAGTGTGTGTCTGTGTGTGACTACCAAAAATGAAGGGTGAGAGCAATTGTTAAAAAAAAGGAAAATACAAAACAAGGGGATGCTGTTGTGCCGAGAAGGCCCCTGGGCAAGGAGCAGCCGGTGGTGGCTGCGGGGCCGAGCGGGAGCGGTTGGTTCCCAAGGCTGGGACATGGTGACCTCAGGGCGGACGTGCCCGAGCCCGGCTGGGTCTCTGTGACGTGGATCAGTGGGGACTGTGACCCTGCCAGCTCTGGAGGCCACAGCTGTGAGAGCCAAGATCCAACAGCCCACACCAGGAGGGTGCAGGATGGAGGAGCAGCGCTGCCCACCTGGCAATGCCCACCTGGCACTGCCAGGGCACAGCCACAGCCATGGGAGCCCTTCCTGTGCCCAGAGGGACCCGGCTGCTGCTCCAGACCCAGCCAAGATGACCTCACTGAGAGAATCACCTGCCATCAAGGACTCTGCAATGTGGTTTGTGAACTGTGGGCCATGGACCGTGAGTAACCTGTGGAGCATTTGCTGGGGGTGTCTGCAGCACTGACTGCTCACATGATGCTGTCTTTTTCTTTCCAGCTGCTAAATCACTTCTTTAAAAAAAAAAAACAAAACAACAACAAAAAGAAACAAAAAAAAAAAGGGAAGAAAGCCTACAAATACATTACTTTCCTAATCTTACTTTTACATGTAAACAATTGCTGTACTTGCCTGAGGATGTGATTTGATCACCACGGGGAAGGGAGGAGGTGCCTGGTTGTGGCCAGAGGGGAGAGGTCCATGAGACACTTTCCCTGTTAATGTTCCACCCCATGAATCTGAGCTAGAGAATCCATGGCCTAAAACACTAGAGCATTGTTTGGTTATTTTTTTTTTTTAGTAACAATAAAACACTTTTCTCTGATGTTTTGTTAAAAAAAAAAAAGAAAAAAAAAGAAAAAAAAAAGAAAAAATATTCTCACCGTTACTGTATGCTCATGTATCTGCCTGTACCACATCCACGGCCTCGCTGTGGGGCCCAGAGGTTTGAATGGGCTCTCAAGGTCTCCAAAAGGTCTGTCCCCATGGAACCCCCACCCAGCAGGGCTCCAGGGGTGTCTGTCACACCTCTGCAGAAGGTCATGTGGGTGCTCGTCTTCCAAAAGGCTTTTTTTTGAGCACATGGTGGTTTGTAGCAGTTAGAGAGTTGAATTAAATGGATGCCAGTTTGTATGGAAATAAGGGTAAATATTGCCAAGTTGGTGTGGGCAAATGATGGAATTCCTCTCAGGGTGGGCAGTGTCAGCCTGCTGGGAATGTCAGTGTGCAACAGCTGTGCAAGGACTGATTTCTCTCTCATTGCCTTGGATTGGAAAGGACAGACTTGCTGCAGAGTCTTTGAACAGCCCTGTGGATTCCTGAGTGTGTCAGGGCTGGGGAATCTGTCTGGGAAGCTGGAACCTTCTGACTGAAAGAGTTGGAAAAGCACTGCCTGGAGGGAATGGGAATTGCCAGCAGGTGGGTACAGGTAAGGTGAGAAAATCTTTCCCCTTTTTGTTAGAGCCTTTAATGCCTTCCAGGGGGTGAGAACTTACCCTGTTAGTGTCCTGCAAAGGCCAGGAAGGGAATTCTCAGAGATTTTCATGAGGGGTTTTTCAGAATTACCCAAAGCTGGGTTTGCAGCATGGCAGGGTTTGGCCTCTCTGAAGTTAAATCAGTTCAGCTGCACGCTGGATGCTGTGAGCAGTTCATGCACAAGGCCTTGAGGGCTCCAGCTGTGGGTGTGTCACCTGAAGTGTCAGCTTCCCAACAATGTCACTGCAAGGAGCAGAACCCCTGACTCCTTCCTCTGCTCCTCCTGTGCTCTGTGCCATGCATTTACTGCACCCCATTGATTTCCAGGAAAGCAGTTCACCAGTTTCCTTCTAGGAAAGGAAAACAGGTTTGCAGGTGGTTGTGGCTTCTCAGGATACGGCTCATGAAAGATCTTTGGAACCAGTTTCTTGTGAAGGGTATTAAAATACAAAAAAACCTGTAAGGTATATGAAATAGAAAAGGGAATTATTAATTAAAGCAGGTTCCCATGGAATGCAATTTGCAGGAGCCTCATTTTGTGTAAGTGAGGAGAGATGAGCTGTGGTCACTGGCCCAGTGTTGCAGCAAAGCCTCAGCAGGGAGGGCAGCAGGTTTACACCAAGGATACTGCAGGTTTACACCAAGGATACTGCAGATTATGCTGAGGGGTTTTCTTCTACTCTTGATCTATTGAAACACATCTTGTGTGCAGGGGTTTAATGCAGCTCAGCATGGAAGAGCAGCATTAGAACCATTTCTGCTGCTGGCAACCCTTCATTTCCCAAGGCTGGGGCACTGTGACAAGCACAGGCAAGGAGCAGAGGCATTGCTTTCATCCCTGTTTATTACTGAGAATATCCCCTAACCTGAAGCCACCAAACAGCACATTTTCAGGCCAGGTGTCCACCTAAGGCTGGTTTCTTTCTAGGAAAGGGTTTTCAGAGGAGGATCAGCCATTTCTGGGAATGAGGTCAGGAAATACACTGATCCTGGATGCTGTGCTCTCTGCTTGTGTCAACATGTTCAGCTTTTACCTTATTTTCCAACAAAGCCTCAGGTCCAGGAGCAGATCTTGGTGTATGGAAGTGTCTTTTCAAAGAATCCTAGAAAATGCTGGGTAGGAAGGGAGCCATCAGCATCACTGAGTCCAGCTCCTGGGTTCAGCCCTCCCTGGTGCAGGATGTGATAGGCCACATGGCAGGAGAGGCTCAGGAGAAGGGATTCCTCTGCAGAAGTGGTTTTTAGTGGGCACAAGGCAGGTTTATGCCAGCAGTAACTTGGATCAGTTGTTACTGTGACCCACAGAGCTTTTGTTCCAACCCTATATCTTGTTTTTTACTGATAAAGGAGAAACAGGGTCTCTCAAAAGTCCCCTTAACTTGCTGAGCATTCTGAAAACATTTAAAGCCAATTGCAGATGTTGGCATTTCATTGCCAGAGGGTGGCTGAGATTGTTCTGCTGCATTTGCTCCCATGATGAGTTGTTGGTAGACACCCCTGGCTGCTTTGTCAGAAGTGTCCTGAGCAGAGCAGAGAAGCTGCCAGCTAGGCCTGTATGCTTGGTTTCCTTCACATGTTCTAGAGGGTTTAACTTTGGGGGCAGAAAGCTCAAAATCAGCCCTCCCAGAATGCTTTTGTGTCCTTAGAGCCAACAGCCCTGTCCCTGAGGCACTGAACCACCTGGAGGAGAGCTGGCTGCAGGTCATTGTGAGGGTGAGATGCTGCATGGTTGGAGCTGGGCCAGGAGTGCTGGGCTCTGCCTGGGGATGAGTCCATGGGAGGTGTTTGGGCTGGCAAGTGCTCCAAGCTCCTGCTTCTCCCAATCAGGATGGGAACTGGAACTCAGCCTTTCTGCCCTTTGGAAGGTGCTGGCCTGGGAGCTGCCAGCTGAGCAGGATCTGCAGCCAAGCAGCACCAGCAGGAGCCTGAGCTCTTCACACACCACTGGCTTTTCATGAGGTGCCAGCCCTGAGCTTTGCACAGGGCCCCACACGCTGACAGAAACTCAGGTTTGCTGTGCCTGGGGCCAATTGCAACCTGCAGCTGTTGGGTGGAGCCTGGGGACCAGGAGGCTTCAGCCCAGAGGATCCTGCTTGGCTTTCTTCAGATACACAACCCACAAGGAGCCACTGGAGGAAAAGCAGCAATGGGCAAAGAACAGCAGCAAGAGATTGATTAACTCAGCTCCCAGCAGCATGACTAAATCAAATACCCAAGGAAACCTCAGGTTTTTTACCCTTGTATTTGTCAAGGGGCTCCATTTGCCACCTTTGCTGAAGTATTGTGGATCTGCAGCTTGCTGAAATAACTCCTGCTCCTTTAAACAGGGATGCTGACTGTGGAAAGCTTTGTCATGTGGCACCAGCTTCTCTTTCTCATTTCCAGCTGCTAAATTGTGCTGAAATAGCAACAGGAATAAAACCAGCTCCCACTCCATTCAGTCCTTT